TCAAAAACTTCAAGAAAAATACTTGAAATGTTCAGAAAAAAAGACAAATGAGATACTTTAGTCATATAATTAATGATGAAGGAATAATAACGGAAATATTAATGGACAAAGTTGAGGGTAGGAGGGCCAGAGACCGAGTCCCCAGAGAGATACAACACCTTAGAGGATTGGTGAACACAGCCTGAGAACGATTAGAGTGGAGGACTGTGGTCACCAACCCTCAGATATGACGACGGTGCTCTGATTGGTTGATTGAGTTATATGTTTACCCCTTGAATACCTGTCATCTTAATGCTCTCTCTCTCTCTCTCTCTCTCTCTACGTGTGCCGGGGTAAAGTATGTGTGTCGGGCCGCCACTGAACCGCGGGCTATTGATTACCTGACTCTTGTGATTTCTTAAAAGTTCTTGTGTTATTTTTCCCTCTGAACCAGCACTGTGGCGACGCATCTAACTGACTCACATAACTCATAAGACAAAGATCCAAGTCTCAAAAGGTTCTATTTAACGAACCTAACCGCTTCCCTTAACGTGTGTGAACCTTTTTAAAACACATCTTTGAGAACACAAGTTAAGTGATCCAGTTACATACATTCTCACATCTTTAGTTAAGGGACAAAACTTATTCCCACTTATTCTCTCTCTCTCTCTCTCTCTCTCTCTCTCTCTCTCTCTCTCTCTCTCTGACTTAGTGTTGGAAAAAATCTACTCGTGCCAAACACAACAACAACTACTACCACTTATAATCACAACCACTACTACCACTTATAATCACAACTACCACTACCATCACCACCATACCTTCACGATTACTGCACCAATGCCACCACCAGTTCAAGCTGACAACACTACCAATATCTGACAACTCTCACGTCATTCACCAGTAGCTGACAACATTACTCTTCATGTCACATACCGCCGGCACAGGCAATCAACAGCGCCTGGCGTCTCCTACCATCCCCCAATGACACACTAATTAATGTTTACGCCAGACGATCGTTCGCTCGCCTTGTACCTCCAGCGGCAATGTTTTTACCTGTCCAGGAATATTGTACCTGGGGAATGTGTGTTCGTCATGCCAGACCTCAAGACTCGTGTAATGAAGAACGTATCGAATTAACTCACCTAACCTAACCAAACCAAACCTAACCTAACCTAACCTAACCTAACCTAACCAAACCTAACCTAACCTAACCAAACCCAACCTAACCAGCTACACCTCAACATCTCTTCCCCAAGAACTATCAGTCAATTGCTTAAGAGGTTTTTAACACTATTTTTTTCTTTAGTAATGCAAATTAAAGGTCACTACAGTAAACCCTCTCAATAGCGGACTTCTCAAGAGAGGACTTCACAATAGCGGACTTCTCAATAGCGGACTTCTCAATAGCGGACTTCTCAATAGCGGACTTCTCAATAGCGGACTTCTCAATAGCGGACTTCACAATAGGGCTAATCAAGAATTAGTCTGGTATTGGAAGGGTTTATTTATCTCAAAACATAAATCAGTTAAAGCTGGTCACTAGGTGGGTTAAAGGTGTGTGTGAGTTATGAGTCCCTCGCATGACAACATCATAATCAGTTAGGTCAGGAGAGACGATTATTGAACACCTAAAAGCAGGCTCCCCCCCCCACCCCCCCCACACACAAAAAAAAGATGTTAGTTCTTTTCAAGGTGAATTTTCCCTCGTAACCTAACTTAACACAACCTAACTTAACCAAGACAAACCTAACCTAACCAAACCAAACCAAAAAAATAAACCTACAGTCGTCAGTAAAAACAAACAAAGTTAAACCAGAAAACTATTGATTAGAACGACGTCGTCACCACCACCACCATCACCACCATCACCATCACCACCACCACCACCAACATCAACCAATATAAAGCTCAAATTTCTGTCGACCGAATTAGATTTTTTTTTTGGAGGGGGGGGGGAAGGGCGGAGAGGGAAGAGTGGAGGGGGAAGGGCGGAGAGGGGAGAGTGGAGAGGAGGGAGGGAGAGGGAAGGGGGTGTCTTGTTCTTATCCAAAGCAATCAGGACGCTCTTCAGGTGCCCAACCTTTGATGACGACCATTATTCTGTCAGCTCCCACAAATCATTCTCCTTTATCCCTTAACTATTTTTGTCTAAATGTGTAAAGGAGATTGATATCGATATCCCCTTGGTGGCTGTCTGTCTGTCTGTCTGTCTGCCTGTCTGTCTGCCTGTCTGTCTGTCTTTACGCCTGTCTTTAAGTCTGTATAGATAGGTGTTTCTGTCTGTCTGTCTTTATGCCCGTCTCTAAGTCTGTATGCATAGATCTGTCTGTCTGTCTGTCAACACTCTAAGCCTCCAATTTCTATACAACATTGTAGAGACTCGGCAGTTGTGTTCTTCGGAGGGTCAGACCTGGGGGCATTTGCTTGACCTCATGTGACCTCGTTTGACCTCTCTACCGTGACCATTGGCAGTGATATTACCTTTTAAACTTTAGAAAATACCCTCCTCCTCCTCTCTCTCTCTCTCTCTCTCTCTCTCTCTCTCTCTCTCTCTCTCTCTCTCTCTCTCTCTCTCTCTCTCTCTACACACCCGTTTCATCTCTCCAACAAAACACAGTTCTTCAAGTTTAAAAGCTTACTAGAGGAACAGTTCTTCAAGCTTAGAACCAACAAGAACCACCTAACACGCTTGAAGTGATAATCAACCCCCCTACAGGTGACAACACAAGGTACTGCTCAGGTGACTCACAGTGTTATTGTGAGCTGTGTGTAGGGTACTTTACGTGAAGAACAAGAAGAAGAAGAACAAGAACAAGAACAAGAAGAACAAGAAGAAGGCCAAGAAGAACAAGAAGAACAAGAAGAACAAGCAGAACAAGAAGAAGAAGACCAAGAAGAACAAGAAGAACAACAAGAAGAAGAACAAGAACAAGAACAAGAACAAGAACAAGAACAAGAAGAAGAAGAAGAAGAAGAAAACAACAACAACAACAACAACAACAACAACAACAAGAAAAGAAGAAGAAGAAGAAGAAGAACAAGAAGAACAAGAAGAACAAGAAGAACAAGAAGAACAAGAAGAAGGCCAAGAAGAACAAGAAGAACAAGAAGAACAAGCAGAACAAGAAGAAGAAGAACAAGAAGAACAAGAAGAAGAACAAGAAGAACAAGAAGAAGAACAAGAAGAAGAAGAACAAGAAGAACAAGAAGAACAAGAAGAACAAGACCAAGAAGAACAAGAAGAAGAAGAACAACAAGAAGAAGAATGCTCATTTAAAGTATCAAATAAAGAATGATTTACCTCAGCATATTCTTGAACGAACCAAGAAGGATAAATAAGGAAATATGAATAAAGATAATGATGATGAGGGGAAGATGAGAGAACGAAGAAGAGGAGAAGACTGAAGGAATGAGAGGAGGGAAGGCAAAGGAGAGAGAGCAGTAGGCAATTTGGATAATGCAGTGCTGGAGGGGACAGAGAAAGGAGGAGGAGGAAGAGGAGGAGCAGGAGGAGGAGGAGGAAGAGGAGGAAGAGGAGGAAGAGGAGGAGGAGGAGGAGGAAGAGGAGGAGGAAGGAGGGAGAGGAGGAGGGAAGGAGGAGGAGGAGAGAGAGGAAGAGGAAGAGGAGGAAGAGGAGCAGGAGGAGGAGGAAGAGGGAGGGAGGAGGGAGGGAGGAGAGGAGAAGAAGGAGGAGCAAGAGGGAGGAGGAGGAGGAGGAAGAGGCAGGAGGGAGGAAAGAGGAGCAAGAGAGGGGAGGAGGAGGGAGGAGAGGAAAGAGGAGCAAGAGGAGGAGGAGGACAATTTAGATTTTACAGCAGAAGCAGAAAACAAAAGGAATAAGATGGAAGGCAGCAGGGTAGTGAGGTAGCAGCAGGGTGGAGGCAGCAGGTGGTGAGGCAGCAGGTAGAGGCAGAGGCAGCAGGTAGAGGCAGCAGGTGGAGGCAGGAGCGAGGGCAGCATGAGTGAGGCGGCAGGGTGAGGTGGGGCAGCAGGTGGGGAGCAGGCCCAGCAGGGTGGGGCCCAGCAGGTGGAGGGGCAGCATGTGGTGGGGCCCAGCAGATGGGGGCAGCAGGTGGTGGGGCAGCAGGCAGCAGGTGGGGCGGGTGGGGCAGGTGGTGGGGCCAGCAGGTGGTGGGGCAGCCAGCAGGTAAGTGGTGAGTGGAGGTGGTGGGGCCAGCAGGTGGGGGCAGCAGGTGAGTGAGGCAGCAGCACAGGTGGTGAGGCAGCAGGTGAGTGCCCAGGTGAGGCCCAGCAGCAGTAGTGAGGGCAGCAGGTGGTGTGAGGCCAGCAGCAGGTGGGGCAGCAGTAGCAGGTGGGGAGGCAGCGGTGGTGAGGCAGGGCCCCAGGAGGCGCAGGTGGTGGGGCCAGGTGGTGGGGCCCAGCCAGCAGGTGTGGGCAGCAGGTGGTGGGGCGGCAGGTGTGGTGGGGGAGCAGGTGTGACCAGCAGATTGGTGGGGCCCAGCCAACAGCAGGTAGTTGACTACTGACCACCATGGTGGTGGGATGGTAACCCACACACACACTGCCAGCAGCACAGTGTGGCAACAGCAACTGGCAGAGCACCACCCACACCACCACCATCACCAAACACACTAGCCAATGACCACTGAGGTGACCCATGAGGATAAGTACACAAAAATTGTACAAAAAATTCAATTCAACATTACAACCACCACCACCTTTATCAAAACAGTATATCAAGTTAGGATATTATCTTTTCCCCATCTTCCATTTATAATTGCCATCATCTATCAACGCTAACGGTCTTATTTTTATCATTATCTTTTTTATTATTTTCCTACGGTCATTAATAAGTTCAGAGTAATGTAAATAAAATAAAAACATAAATTAATCGCACCAAAAATAGGGATGACGATAATAAACTAAGGCCGCTTCATTTAGTGTGTTGACGAGCGCCCTAACCTAAGGTGATTGCTAGATACAACCTTTTCATTAAGATAAATTAAGACCCGAGGCAGAGACATCTCCTTTAACAACCCCCTCCCCCCCTTCCTTACCTGTGTACAAAAGGGGGTCCTCTACTTCCGTAACTTCTCCTCTAGCGTCGTTCACACTTTCCTAAACTTTGCATTTTCCCCAGCCACTCCTTTTATTAATTTCAACCATTAATCCGTAAGTTTTAGTACAAGATAAAATGACTCTGTGGTGGAGTTTGAGTTCTCTAAAGTTCTCTGAGGGTAGAGAGAGAGAGAACAGAGGCGTGTGTATGTCTGTCCGCCAGGCCAGGAGTTGGAGCGACACGACCACTGTGTATCACTGCCAGAACTACACTGAGTTTCGTCTAGCTGACCCACCACCGTCACCCTGCTCACCTCCCTCCCTCCCTCCCTCATCATCTCCCTCCCCCCCTCATCAACTCCCTCCCTTCAAACCTCTCTACCTCTTACCCCTTGACCTCAATAACCTCCCCCACCCACCCCAACCTACCTCCTCATTCTCGAGATTGATGGAGAGTAGCAGGGAGGAGGTGGATAGGAGGGGGGAAGAGGGGAAGCAGTGTGTAAAGGCACAGGTAAATCTTGAGTAATGAAAGGTATGTTGCTCGTCGTCAAGTTTGTTTGCTAATTAATAATAGTCAAATTAAATATTACCTTAAGATGGGCTGGAAATATCTCTCTCTCTCTCATAAATATCTATCTATCCACATTTATCAATCTACCTATCGTATAATAACAACAACACAACCATTCCACATACCCCCTAGCCCTCTCCTCTCTACCCCCCCCTCCCCCTATCACCCCTACCCCCCTCTCTCCCCCTACCCCCCCTCCCCCTCTCCTCCCTACCCCCCCCTCTCCCCTACCGCCCTCCCCCTCTCCCTCCCCTCTCTCCTCCCTACCCCTCCCCCCTCTCCTCCTCCCCCTCCCTCTCCCCCCTACCCCCCTCCCCCTCCTCCCCTACCCCCTCCCCTCCCCCCTCTCTCTCCCCTCCTCCCTACCGCCCTCCCCTCTCCTCCCTACCCCCCCTCCACCCTCCTCCCGCCCTCCCCTCTCCCCCTACTGCGCCCTCCCCCTCTCCCCTACCGCCCTCCCCTCCTCCCTACCGCCCTCCCCCTCTCCTCCCTACCCCGTCCCCTCTCCTCCCTACCCCTCCCCCCTCTCCTCTCTACCCCCCCTCTCATCCCTACCCCCCCTCCCCTCCCTACCCCCTACCCCTCTCCTCCCCTCCCCCCCCCTCTCCTTGAAGCATCACAGACTACGGTAGGTGGGGGGGTCTGCTCAAGTTTGTTGTTAACATAGTTTGTTCCTTGAGAAGTATCATCAAAACAGAAGTGAGTCTTTGAGGGGTTAAAAGATTTCTGGTTCATGAGTAATTAGTAGTGATTGGAGCACGTGGGAAGGGGGGTGAGTGAAAGTGAGTGATGAGGGTAAAGGTGAGGGAAATGAGGTAGTGAGGAGATGAGTAGTGAGGGTAAGGTGAGGAAGGAGGACCTGAGATTGAGGGTGAGGTTAGGTTAGGTTAGCTTAGTGTTAGGTTAGATTAAGGTTAGATTAGGTTGGGTTAATGTTAGATTTGTCATATACCAAAGTTAAAAAATAAGGAATCCGTAGTTAGTCCCGTAAACCACTCTGACTTTGATGTTAGTTTTATATTAACGATGTGATGAATAACAGACTATTTCTCTCTTCTTCCCACACAGGTTAAAGTGACCATAGGGGAGAAATGTATTCAGTAATCCCTTTACCCAGCCGGTGTCATCAGATAACCGCAGCTTTATAACGAATCGATTCATATCTGTGTGTGTGTGTGTGTGTGTGTGTGTGTGTGTGTGTGTGAAAACTGCCAGCATTGATCAGGCGCTCTCTATTTTTACGACCTGTAGCTTGACTCACAACTACAACAACAACAACTACAATAACAACAACTACAACAGCGAGAACTACGATAATTATAATAACTACAGCAACAACTACAACAACAACTACCATAACACCAACAACAAACTCAACTTCAACAACAACAGCATCAATAACTACAATAACTATAACAACAACTTCAACTACAACAACAACAGCATCAAAAAACAATCTACACCCTCACAAAGCCTGGAATGCTGGGTGCCATTTACTCGAATATTTTTTTGTCAATGAGTGTTCCATATATTATACATGAGCTCCGTAGTTCAGGGTAAGGTATTGTGTGTGTGTTCGTCTAGTCACACATTACTGTACGCTTCTCTTACTAAACATATTCAATGCTCACCCCATGCAGTTAGTGGTATAAGAAAAGTACCCCAAGTGTTGAGTTACACCCGCAAGATAAACATGGTGATAAGAATGGTGCTGAAATAACCCACCCACAGGCAGTTGTAATTAGAATCGTTATCTTTGAAGCGAGGAATAGAAGGTTCATACCGATCTCTGGCAAGGGCAATGTGTGGGAGGGTGTGTCTGAGTCGTGTAGTGTTGTGTCGTGTTTGGTTGTGTTGTGTCGTGTTTGGTTGTGTTGGGTCGTGTCGTGTTGTGTTGTGTTTGGTTGTGTTGGGTCGTGTTTGGTTGTGTTGTGTCGTGTTTGGTTGTGTTGGGTCGTGTCGTTGTGCTGTGTTTGTGTTGTGTTTGTGTTGTGTGGACGATAACTGGTCACAAAAATAGGATTCGTTAATGCATGTTGCAGGTTAGGTTAGGTTACGTAATTTTGTTATGTCACTGAAGTCAAAAAGAAGTTATGTCACTGAAGTCAAAAAGAAGTCATCTCACTTAACGACAGACGCACGCAGAGGACACTATTTTCAATGAAGTCACAACGGCACAGACTCCTTATCGTAACTATGTATGTTATTTCATCTACAATCACGGGAAATATTTCTAACCTATACGATTAGGTTATATTAGGTTAGGTTATGTTTAGGCCGATTTTGATTTCAGAAAGATATGGGTGAAAAAATTGTTTACCCAAACGAATCTTCAGAAATCTTAGACTTTTATCATTACTGTGTAGTGAATGTCTCGTGGATTACAGGAAGATTTTAGCAGATTCGACTGTAATTTCAGTGTCTGGTATTAGCATTACAAGACCTCAGCTATCAAGATGTAGTCATACATTATAACACCAATACACGTAAAGGATGGAGAGAAGAACGCGCCATAAATGAATGAATGGAATGGATATATATAAGGATGCAGCTATCGTGAATGAGTGGATAGCGTGAGGAAGGTAATAGCGTGGTTATATTTGGCTACACCAGTGGTTCCACACACGGTACGTAATTTGCGTGCGGACTGACTGACTCACTCAAAGGCGAAGAGAATACGAGTTTGGACGAAAATTTTACCCTTACAATGCCGTTTTTTTTATTATTATTATTATCTGTACTTATAAATATTAGCGTCTATTTGATATTTCCCATAAAATTAGTTATTCCCATTAACATCGGTGCGTGTAGAGTGGCTGGGTCGTCCCTGGGAAATAACTAAAATGCATCAACACACAATATGTTTCACCTCCATTACCACCAACAACGTACACACAACCGTCAATAGAAAACAAATAAATAAACATATCTAACAAACACACAGCTAGAATATAAAAATAAAAAACTGCACAAACATAAATTTTTAATATATTACTAATGGAAAAAACGCTTCAGTAAAATCAATTGCTCATTTACAGTGGTTCACAAAAATCGCCTGACAACATATTTTTTGATAAATGAAAAATATTTCCCAATATCCATCATAAAAGTTACTTATACGTTTACGTTTGTGTTTATAATGTGTTTAAGTAATTCTGATTAATTTGTCTATCATATCGGCCTTTATTAATACATTCTCGTAATGATTATAATGCTTATTTATTAATTTATCTTATAGTTAAGTCATGTAGAGTACACAAGGGGATATTATTAACCCCAGGTCTCTTCTCTCTATTAACTAATGGTTAGGTTAGGTCAGGTCAGGTCAGGTCAGGTTAGGTCAGGTCAGGTTAGGTCAGGTTAGATGAATACTTGCTTCTTCTAAAATGATAAACCAGGTGACAAATGCATACTTGACAGATAACTACAGTATCAGTACTAGGGGGGTGGAATGGACCCCAATTCAGTACTAGGGGGGTGGAATGGACCCCAATTCAGTACTAGTGGGGTGGAATGGACCCCAATTCAGTACTAGTGGGGTGGAATAGACCCCCAACTCATAACAAAACAACACGCCCCCAAACAGTGCTCAGTCCGCCTCTTGCATTTAATAACTCATTGTGATCATTAAATATTTACCTTATTCATTATATATTTATTCGTCTTCATTATTCAAATTTGCTGTAGGATGGTTGGGTTATGTTATGTTGGGTTGGTGTCATTAAGTCGACACACACACACAGGTATATAAAGAAAGGTAAACAGCCATTCAACTCCCAGCCTCTAACCTGCCTAATTAACACCCCATATTATTTTCCTCAACAAACAATACACAATTAATATCAGTCATTAGTGAGCAAGGCAAACAACTAAATGAACTACCACACCAATCTGGGGCATTAGACGGCTGGAATCCGCTCAATGAAACTATATTTATGCTGTTATCCGGACAAAACAAGCGCCACTGAAGATAGATTCTTTAAGGAAGGTTCGTTCGGTAGGATAGTTTTGTCGACCCCCTTTCCTCCGTGGTTGGTGACGTCACAATGTAAATATTCGCCTCACTGAAGACATTGTTACAAAGATGAATTCTCGATGGTAACTTTATACGATGGTCAGCTCTCTCTCTCTCTCTCTCTCTCTCTCTCTCTCTCTCTCTCTGGAGTATGGCCAGGTTCACTCTCTACGTTAAAGAGTGGGTTCTGATTTGTACAGATTCCACAGGACAAAATTCTACGATAGGAATTGATCCATTATAATGTTTTATCCGGTGGGTAACTGTCCGATTGGATTAGTCCGGCGGGTAATTGCACTGACAGCCTTGTATGAGCCCCACCACCACCACCACCATACTAACTCCAGCCCATACTCGCCTCCTCTCAGTGTGTGGCCCAGACCATGGTCACCTCTCAGTGTGGCCCACACCATGGTCACCTCTCAGTGTGTGGCCAAGACCATGGTCACCTCTCAGTGTGGCCCACACCATGGTCACCTCTCAGTGTGTGGCCCACACCATGGTCACCTCTCAGTGTGTGGCCCACACCATGGTCACCTATCAGTGTGGCCCAGACCATGGTCACCTATCAGTGTGGCCCAGACCATGGTCACCTCTCAGTGTGTGGCCCAGACCATGGTCACCTCTCAGTGTGGCCCACACCATGGTCACCTCTCAGTGTGTGGCCCACACCATGGTCACCTCTCGTGTGTGGCCCAGGTCACCTATCAGTGTGGCACCAGATCAGTGTGGTGGCCCAGACCATGGTCACCTTCTCTTGTGGGCCCAGACCATGGTCACCTCTCAAATGGCCCAGACCATGGTCACCTTCTCTTGTGTGATCATTGTCGCCCTCTGTGTGGTCAGCCATGGTCGCCCTCTATTGTGGTCCAGCCATGATCGCCTCTAGCCATGGTCCAGCCATGGTCGCCCTCTATTGTGAGTCCCATGGTCGCCCTCTAGTGCCATGGTCCCTCTATTGCCATGCGCCCTCTATTGTGATCAGCCATGGTCGCCTCTATTGTGGTCCAGCCATGGTCGCCCTCTGTGTGGTCAGCCATGGTCGCCCTCTATTATGGTCCATGCCATGGTCGCTTCTATTATGGTCCAGCCATGGTCGCCCTCTATTGTGGTCCCATGGTCGCCCTCTATTGTGCCAGTCGCCATGGTCGCCCCTCTATTGTGGTCCCAGCCCTCTATTAATGGTCAGCATCGCCCTCTATTGTGGTCAGCCATGGTCGCCTCTATTGTGGTCCAGCCATGATCGCCCTCTATTGTGTGGTCAGCCATGGTCGCCTCTCCAGCCATGGTCGCCCTCTATTGTGAGTCCAGCCATGGTCGCCCTCTATTGTGGTCAGCCATGAGGTCGCCCTCTATTGTGGTCAGCCATGGTCGATTAGCCCTCTATTGTGGTCCAGCCATGGTCGCCTCTATTAGCCATGGTGGTGGTCAGCCATGGTCGCCCTCTATTGTGGTCCAGCCATGGTCGCCTCCTCTATTGTGGTCAGCCATGGTATGCCCTCTATTGTGGTCAGCCATAGTCGCCAGCCCTCTATTGTGGTCAGCCATGGTCGCCCTCTATTGTGGTCCAGCCATGGTCGCCCTCTCTATTGTGGTCAGCCGCCCTCTATTGTGGTCAGCCATGGTCGCCCTCTATTGTGGTCCAGCCATGGTCGCCCTCTATTATGGTCCAGCATGTCGCCCTCTATTGTGGTCCAGCCATGGTCGCCCTCTATTGTGGTCAGCCATGGTCGCCCTCTATTATGGTCCAGCCATGGTCGCCCTCTATTATGGTCCAGCCATGGTCGCCCCTCTATTGTGTCCATGCATGGTGCGCCCTCTATTGTGGTCCAGCCATGGTCGCTCTCTATTGTGGTCCAGCCATGGTCGCCCTCTATTGTGGTCCAGCCATGATCGCCCTCTATTGTGGTCAGCCATGGTCGCCCTCCTATTGTGGTCCAGCCATGGTCGCCCTCTATTGTGGTCAGCCATGATCTCGCCCTCTATTGTGGTCAGCCATGGTCGCCCTCTATTGTGCCATGGTCGCCCTCTATTGTGGTCCAGCCATGGTCGCCCTCTATTGTGGTCCAGCCATGGTCGCCCTCTATTGTGGTCCAGCCATGGTCGCCCCTCTATTGTGGTCCAGCCATGGTCGCCCTCTGGCTCAGTACCTCGACCATTATGTAGGAGGGCCGGGATCGATGCCCACTATTCTTAATACGTTTCCCTGTGTTGCCTGGACCGTCGGGGTGCCGAGCTTGGCGGGTCAACAACACCCATTGTTAAGCACCGCTGCCTCTACCTTACCTGGCCCCCCCCATGAAGGAGGGTGGGTGTGTAGTCACATTTTGTCTGTCTGTGTATGGAGAGGTTTTCTGGGATATTTTTCTTTACATTTGGTTAACTGAAAGTGCTTTTAAGTATTTGAGGTTTAAAGTTAATAAAAAAAATTGTTTTAAATGAGGAATAATTTTGATCATATGAGAGAGAGAGAGAGAGAGAGAGAGAGAGGTGGTAGGGACGTCATGCCACCAGTGTTTGCAACTCAGCATTGTTAAGGACAGCTGGGAGCGTCACGCGCGCCAGGGTAAATACAACCTTTTTTTTCCACACACATGTAAATAATTAAAACAGAGTCCGAATAATTTTTTACTTATTTAAGATTAAATTATTTGTACATAAAATTAAAATTCTTGAATACGTAGACTGCTGAATTGCTGTGAGGTTTTTTATCAACTGGTTCCCCATGACTCATATAATTCTACATGATCACCTTAACAATAACCAAACACTGTATATATCAAAACCTCGCTGTCAAATATTTTCTTACTGTATATATGAATAACTTCTTGCTTCATGTCCAGCTAATAATAAAAATAAACAAAAACATACATATATAATTCTTCAAACTACGATAATTAGTGAAATGACCTGTACGCCCAATTTGAAAATCCTATGTCTTAAGGATTTCGTAAATATGTAGTGTAATGAAATTCTAGCTAGTCCTTCTTTACTTAACACAACAGAATAGTTGCAAGAGGAAACAAGAGAACAAGAAGTTGGAAAGAAGAAAACAACGTAAAGCAAAAGTGATCAATGAGAAACAAAAATAACCAACTGTTTATTTCTCCTATTAAATGATGTTTTACCGTTTTATAATATGCTTAAACTATCGATAAACAGTCTAGGGATAATCAATGTATTGTTATGATGGAAGACAGTACTAAATATTTTATTTAGGTAGCAAAGATAAGCAGGTGTGCACAGAGAACAGGTGAGTGACAGATGGAAAGGAGATAAGAATGATGGGAGGGAAGGAAGAGGGAGGAGTAGCGAAGAGAGAAGAATGTTGAGAGGGGAGAAGTGAAGAGAAAAAAATGTGAGAAAATTACATGGTGGAAGAGGAAAGAAGGTAAAGATGAGAAGGAGGAAAGGAGGGGAAAGCAGGAAAAGGAGAAGGAAGAAATAACGAGAAGGGAAGGAGGGCGCAAGATATATGGTTCTTACGTATGGCTACACCCACAGAACTGCTAAGCGCGGCCACTTTGTGTGAAGTTAAGGTGAATGAACTAGTTAGCCTTGCAACAAGCAGGGTTAGCATGATTTAAGTAGGTGATTTAATATTGATTTAAAATGTTATCTAAATCATCATTTTTATTGTAAAAAATGCCATAAATGCATTTTTCATGAATTTAATTTTCAACTCTAACCTTCCTCATAATTAAATTAATAACTCGTAAAAACAATTATGAGCAAATATTTGGGATATACAGTCAAAGAAGATATAGTCTTGTTTGTATTTTTAAATGCCTATCGACTGTAGTGGCCAGTGCATGAAAGATGAGGGAGAGTTTGGGGTAAAACACGGTGAAAAACTGATCACATGACAATAAATTAATGGTTTGTCTGCCCCCCATCCCCTCCCCCCCGGCCAGGAAGTTAGCAACGTTAGGTTAGGTTAGTTCAGGTTCTATTAGGTTCTAGTAAATGTCGCCGTTCTTAAATACTTACTATAATGATAAGAACAAATTGAAAAAAAAATAAAGAAATCGAACAACATCTGGTGGTAGGGGAGTTCTCATACATTACCAAATTAAAAGTTGTCGTAGCATTTTATTACTATCACCCAAAACACGTCCGTTGAAAAAAATGAACAAAATAAAAAATAAAAAATCTCCTAAATTTAATTATATCCTCTACTCTAAATTGACCCAAATGCATCATAAATAGGAAGTACAGTAAGAACAAAAATTCCTTTCAGTAATTGCAGTCGGGAAGTAACAAGCAGTACTCACTAAATCATTCCTCTTCTTCTGATAGAATACAAACCTCACAATGGAGCTAGGCCTAACAACTACATACTAGCTAGAGCCGACACAATTAGAAGGAACGATAAACTGTCTACATACATTGGGAAACAGCATAAACGAATCTGGTGGTAAATGAATCATACCTGATACTGTGGTAGTAGTGGTGACGGTGTGGAAGGACGAGTTACCTGCTTCCAAAGTTACTCCTTGAGTGACACACTGAACCACTGTCCTATTTATCGTCTTTCGGAATTTATCACTGTACGTACAGAGCCAGAAAGAGACCCAGGAGGTGTTTCACGAGTCTTGTTAAGAGACTGTACACTGCACAACAACGTAATTCACTTCGTCAGTTGTTACTGCGGCACAAGGGAAGGGAGCCTAGGGAGCAGTGTTGCCAACTAAAATATGAACTTCTGTCTGAAAAATCCCTAGGAAAAAGGCCAAATGTCCCTACGTGTCCTTAAAGTTGAGCAAAATATCCCTACACATCCCTACATTTTATAATGGAGATTCGTATCTTTATAGTAAGGTTTGTTAAGCTAATTTAGTACCAACCAAGATATTTAAAATCCCACAAAACATACTAACCTTTTATTGGGATATAAAATCAGTAAAGAAAAACACATACTTTCAGCACTGGAAAATATTGACACCAGTGATTTAAATAAAAGTAAAACTAAATGGCAAGCTGGCAACCTCCTAGTAAAGCCTTAGCCGAATGAGGCAGAAAGTTGTTACTCCTTTGCTCTGGCAAATCATGACTAGTTTTTAAAATCATACATATGTTGATTATGATACAAAAGGAAGCTTTCATCAACCTCATTGGCAAAATCAATGCAGGTTTTTGTCTTTGGGTTTCAAATTTGAGTTGATAAACAATAAAGAATCTAACAATTCTGGTCCCATTCTATTGCGTTTCTTTGTCTTGGAATCAACCATCATTGAGAAAATCCTTTCAGTATCTGCATTTGAGTGTGGTAAGGTCAGTACCAACTTTGCAAGTGAAGCAATATTACCAAATACAATTTGGTCACTAGCTTGGAACTGCAGCAGTACAGAAGGCATGGTCGGGGTCATCTTTAACTGGAGAGAGCCAACCTCGAAATTCATCTTTCTAGAAAAAAAAAGTATATGATTAGATATGCAGTTTTGCTTGACATGTTATATCAAAACTGCGTACCTAACCCTACGAAATTTAGCCAAAATGTCCTAATCTTTATCCGATATATCAAGACACAATCCCCCCCCACCCCCCGGTTCTAGCTATTTTGCCTGGGAGTCCCTACGAGCATGGAAAAGCTCAAAATGTCCCTACGGTTGCCAACACTGCTAGGGAGATGCGGATTGCTTGTTATGTTTCGTTACTTGTAATTTAGATATTGAAAATAACGGTAAATACCATAGCACATTTTACTAATACTTCTCAAACTAATAGTGCGTAATTTGTGACGTAACTATCCAGAACGATGTTTCAATATTCTTTTTGGAAAATTTCTGATTTTTCGAAGTGATTGTTTTTTTTTTTACACAAAGTTTTAATGGTTGGCAGTTAGTGTCATTCTGAAACGCAGAGTTATTGTTTGAGCCCATTTTTCAATTAATTTTTCTCAGTAATGACTGAAAATGTTGAAAATGAGGAATTTACAATACCTTATTTTATATTTACCTAATAACCACCCACTTGAGTTAGCAAGGCTGCCTGGAGGGCGGGGAAGCCGGAATAAATCCATGGGGCCCAGGAAAATGGGAATATAAATATTAAATATATCTGTAAAGGGACTGTAGGGGTAAGTCCACTACAGGACCCATACATTTATCTTCCGCCGGGGCCCTGGCCAGCTCTCGGCAGTCCTGAAGGTTGAGAGGTGGCCATGCCCAAGGATTGCGAGCAAATAGGTAAAGAAAGCAATACAATGTGAAGAATGGAGAGGCTACTAATAGCTCTGAGATAGTTGCAGAAATGTTGAAAGTATCGGACGATATTGGTGTGGCGAAAGTTACCAAGTTGAGTCATGTAATTACTGTATAACAAAATGGATTACTCCGACTGATTGGCTGAAAATGCTTGATTATGAATACTTAACGAACTGGTGATGTGCCTGAATGTAGAACCTAGGGCTTGAATCTGCTATCAAGCCATGAGGAGTTTGGAGAGAGAGTTGCCAAAATTTCGATTTCAAAATACGGGACACCTTTTTTTGGGGGGGGGGCAGAAAAACAATACCACTCATATTTGTACAATTAATTCATTATTTAATTTAACATTTTAATGAATATTGTAAATAAATGAAACTAATTAATTTTCGCTATAGTTGAGCCTGTACTAAATGTTGATGTTATTGACTGGGAGACATTTTTCAATAGAGCCACTTTTCCATCAAGATACAATATTGTTTACAGTAAATTCATATGCAGGCTCTATTCACCCCTGAAGCTGTAAAATACTGTACTGGGAACTTCGTGTTTTATTTTTTCCTTTGTGGCCAGTGCATTACTTTTACTTTTATCCTCTTTGCCACTGATCGGCTCGTTAGCCGCTTGGTCACGTCTCTGTTACGCACTGTTGCCAAGTACTGGGCATGTACTGGCTCCTACATGTATCCGAACCCGCTCCAGTGTTGGTCTAGTCTGGTCTTGAAACAGCTTACACTCTCTGGCAGGTTGTTCCAAGAGTTCACAAGTCCCACTCCCAAAAACTTTGCACTCACAGTTTTCTGGACTTGCGGCTTCTTCAACCTTGAGCTGTGACCCCATGTGGGGCGGGTGTCTGCCAGCTCTAGGTATGGACACTCAACTTAGATGCCCCTTTACCCGTCTGTAGTATAAGCTAGGAAGTTGCAGGTGATCTAATCTCTCTGGATAGCTGAGGTGTCGAAGTGCAGGCACCAGTCTGGCGGCCCTCCTTTGGACATTTTCAACTAACTGACAGTCCGTAGCATATCTCGGGGACCAGACGGGGTGACATTACTCCAGGCAGGGAAGCACCCCACTCTTGAAGATCGTTACGAAGGATGGACCGTCTAGAACCTTCTTATAAGACCTAATAATTTAGTTGCTTGATTCACCTTCTCACAATGGCCCAGAAACTTCAGTTCATTATCAACACACACACTCAGGTCCTTTTTGCATTCGGTCTCTATTAATGCAATTTCTTCATCTCGTTGGGACATATGATACACTTCCTTCCGTCATTTCTTCAACCACACTTGAAGCTCACAGAGATCTTTCTGCAGCTCTTCACAGACTGTTTGATTCTTAATTTCCCTAAATAACTTAGCATAGTCCACAAACATTTAAGAAAATAACAAACAACAATGGGCCTAATACACTGCCCTATGGTATCCCACTTGTCATGGGTGCACATGACGATTTCTTATCATTAATCACCACACACTGTTTGCGATCATGAAGAAAGTCTCCGATCCACGCTAGGACACTATCCCCGAATCCCGTACCCTTCCAGCTTAATTCTAGCCTTTCATGGGATACGCTGTCGAAAGCCTTAGCAAAATCTAGGTATATATTGTCGATATTGCCACCCTGTTCCAGAATTTGGGTCCAAACATTCAGTATCTTGAGTAATTGTGTTTAGTTGAAGCATCCCAGCAAAAAACCGTGCTGTTAATCCTTTATAAGGTTGTTTCGTAGTAGATGTTCCATCGTGGCTTCTCTTATAATACTCTCAAGTACTTTACATACTATGCCGGTCAGGGTCACTGGTCTATAATTACTCGTGGACTGACGATCAACCTTCTTGAAAATAGGACTCACATAAGCCATTTTCCAATCACTGGGAACCTTTTGCTCACCCAGGCATTTACAGAATAGGTTCTTCAGGGGCTCAGCAAACTCGTCGCACAAGTCTTCTAGCACTCTGGGATGCTCCACGTCTGGGCCGGGACTCATGAATCTTGAGCTTTGACAATTTATTTCTTATAACCTCTTTTGAGAACACAATGTGGGTCAGCACTGTCAAACCATCTGTCCAAGATATACCATGTAGAGGCAGTCCCCAACTTACAACAGAGATACATTCCTGGACCCTGATCATGTCGATTTGTTCACAAGTCAAAGCAGTGTTAGGTTAAAGCACAACCTTACCCCTACAAAACAACAATAATATCCCATACATAACAAATAATGTAAATACTGAAAATTAAGTGGTGATAAACAATATAGAATAATGAAAATAATGTAAAAAATGTGATTACAAATTTTTGCAATGAATATATAAGCAGTAATATCTCCGTTAGCCAGAATCCCTCTTAACTGGACCTCTCCGAGCCGGAATTTAAATTTTCTCGGAAAATCGTTCCCAAAGGCAGAATTTTCCAGAAAATTCGGGCTTTGAGAACACTTTTCTGAGGGGCACATTTTCTGGAAAATTATGAGATAATTTTCCCAGTATCTGGAAAATCCCATGGATGGGGGATATTTCTCCAGGTTCAACATATGATGTAAAGCGCAATTTCTGGAACTTCAGAGAAAATTTTTCCGTTACCCGGGAAATTCCGGGTATGAGGGATTTTTTCGGGCTTTGAGAGAATCGTCTCGTTAACCGGAAATCTCTCATTCCCAGAAGTGTTCTGCACCAATTGTTCCGGTTAACGGAGATATCACTGTATTGAGATCCCGTTTGTAAGTGCGGGTGATCGTAAGCCGGACGGTCGTAACTCATTGACCACCTGTATGCTTTCATTGTTTGTGAATGTCAAGTAGGTGTCTTATGTCAGAATCCATTAACTTATTTTGTAAACAGTATAAATAAATACTGTACAAACATACAAATGATAAGCAAGAGTATCACATAAAAACTTGCATCTACCAACTACTGTAGTATGACTGACCTTAGAACTCATGCAGAATTAAATAACTGCTTCTTCTTAATAAGTGATTAAAAACAAAGGATTAGCTTGGTCCACTAATGCTCTCATCACTACCTGCACACTGTATTAAAATAGTAATAATAATTAATACAAATAATAACTGCATATAGTATTCCTAAAGTATTAAATAAAGTTTTTACATGGTTGGTGAGGTAAACAGCCTTTACTCCACTTCTGAGCATATGCTGATGGTAGATAATATCTTAATGTTAGTGGAGACATTTAACAAATGGAAGGACAGAATAGAATCAAGGGGTATAAGAGTTAATGTGACAAAAACAATATTATGGATTAGTGGCATGGGTGAAGGACCTGTGGTGGCTATAAGATGTTGGCAGCAACTCAATAATGTCTAATGAATGTAGATACACAAGAGGTGTACGGCAGACAGCAGAACGTTGCAGACTTTAACTGTACTGTACGTGGAGGTAATCATGTGGCCATAGCAAAGCTCAACATTATACATCGCCTGCGCCAGTAATCAATACTTATGTTTATGCTATATTTACTCTCAAGCCCTTTGTCTAGATTCCATCCTTCCATTTCTTAAATTTCTCCACTGCCTCTTCAATACTGTACTATCTTCTAACATTACCAAGTCATCAGCACACAACTCCTCCCAGGGCAGGCCAGTCCTTTAATTCCGTGATAATGCCTCCAGCACCATGATAACTAGAAGAGGGCTCAAGCCAGACCCCTGATGAGCTCTTACTTTTACCTCCATCTACTCTCAAGAGGTTTTGAGCCTCACGTAATGCCACTCACACAAACATGGTACTCCTTGATTCCAAGCTTTCTCATTGTCCACTTTACATAATGTTCTGATACATTTTGCCATTTTAAAACTAGTTTACTTGTACATTACATGTACATTAGTTTGTTTCTATATCAACACTATTAATAAACCTATTATGTACAGTAATAACACTAACACTACATTCAGATACACAATACATACAGTTAATCTGTCGTTTATGAAAGGGTTCACTCCTGAAAAAAACAAATTAAAAGAAATTTTTCATAAATCATGGCACATTTTTCCAGACTCCTATTATAGAAGCCGAGATCTGCTCCTACAAGGAAAGTCTTAAATTGATACAAAAGATGCTTTTAATGAATGCGTTTGGTGTACAGTTATTGCTGGCCTATAATAAACATAATAAGACACACACATTCAGTACAGTACTGTACAATAATAAATTTATACCAGTATTGTACTTAGAGAAGCTGTACAAGATTGAAAAAGTGAAGAGTACGAAATTAAAGGTCAACAATAATAATTATATTCCCCTAATAATGCAGTGACTCCCATTATATATAATTGCAAATGCAATATCTGTTAGCCAGAACTGTCCAATACCTGGAACTAAAATTGGCTTTTAAGCTTTCCAGAAAAATCGTCTCAACTCAGTCTGTGAAAGAGTTTCAGAAGTTGAAAATGAGGCATATGTTTTTTAGAAAATTACAGAAAATCTCTCCAAATTTTTTTTCCAGGTATAGGAGAAAATTACGAGAATGACATACAATACTGTAATGTGAAATTTCCATAAAATACTGAGAAACTTTTCTCAATACCCAGTAAAATTCTGGGGATGTGGAATTTTTCCAGGTTTGAGAGTCGTCTCGTTTCCCAGATATCTCTCATCTCTGAAAGAGCTCTGCACCGATTATTCCAGTTAATGGGATATCACCTATATATTCTAAAAAAAAAAATAACAAAAGGCACTCATGACCCCTGCTGAGTTACTGCGGCATCCAAAATCTGGAGACTCTATTCACACTATGATGACGCTGGTGAGCTCTGTATAGTACTTGGTTTAATATTTATTTTATTTTGTTTTCACAATGCCCTCACACAAACACCAAAAATGTCAAAATTCTGCCACTCAGCCAGGCAGTCAGAGTACAGTACTTGTCTCCGTTGACGCTCCACCACCAGTAAGTAGCTGGCAGTCGTCTCACCTCCAAACAATTTCCACCTTTCTCTTATAACTACACCTTGATGATGACACATTGAAAGCTTATTTGTAGACTTAACATTGTGAAGGATAGAGAATAATGAAGTAAGCAGGCATACTGGTACTAAAAAACTTCATTATTTTATATTTTCATTAGTACAGTATTGTACTAAAAAAAAAACCTTTTTTTTTTGTTCACAAGTCAAAGCATGCGACAAAATTTTATAATTTTTCATGTCTTTGAATTTTTATGAACTGAAGCTTTGTAAATTGGGGACTGTCTGTATATATTATTTGGTGTAAGGTAGAGTACATACCCTTAATAAGTGTGTTCCCCGCACAGTGTAAATACAGTACGAGGTAACTGTGCAGGCAAGGGACAGGGATTGTACCATTATGGTAAATTATTCACTATATCAGGTCTTGTGTTGTTCCTGACCAACAATTATTCCAGTAAAGTTGTTTACTGTAAGGCTGCCAAGTTTGTTAGTAAGTGCAACAGGAGAAAGAATTGGTAACACATAATGTTAGGTGGTGATCAAAGTACCTGCTAATTTTAACCCATCCTGTTTTTTCTTCTCCAAAACATACTGTCCAAGGAATAAATATACGTACAGGTATAAACTACAGATGAGACAAAGGGTATGAAAACAACAAATATTTCCAATTGGTCTTTAAAAATCTTCAATGGGGCAAAGAGACCATCAAAGCCATTAACTAATGTACAGCTTGGTAATTATCAACACAATAATTACACTATCATATCTATCTTACAAATAATTGACTAAATATGTAAGTCTTAAAAAGCAGTGTTGACAATGTTATTTCGAAGACACTAATACTGAACAAGACCAGTAGAAGCAACCTTCCCATCATACAAGGACTTGAATATCTCCCAAATAAAAGATAGTTATTTAAAATTTGAGTAATAGTATTCAGAATAAACAAAAGTTTCTTGAAACTATTGTAATAACTATCACAACTATCCATATATTAATTCACATTGGCATTATATTTATCAATAATGGATCTTAAGACAAAAAATAAAATAAAATAGGATAAGAGTTACATAGTCATTAGTAACCAACAACTGAAGCAGCAACAATGTACAGTCACCCACAGAAATCCTGTTCTCTCTCCTCCTGAACCATGAACCCCCGAGAATCAGAATTATGAACCAGAAGCAGTAGAGATCGATGCACTATTCTGTCCATAAATGTTTCAGATTCATGAGTCCAAATCTTAGGGTTTGTGGTTAAGGAGAACAGACGACAGGACCTTTGTGGGCAACTGTACACACACACACACACACACACTACTAAATGTATCACAGGTATGAACAACTTAAGGCCAGATTATCATTTTTAAGAGATCAATTACCGAATAAAAATCTCTCCATACTAATACTACTGTACTGACAAGTGAACAAATGGACCCTAATAAGTGTACAAATCTATAATACTGTATAATGATTAATAAATTCTCGGTAGACGACTCTTGAAACAAAGTCGTCACTCATGTACCATTCTTAGATGGAAAATTAGGGTAATTCAAAGACCTCTGTCAGTGTATGATGCACACAAGTGACAGGGACGGCACACCAAAAGTTATATCACACCCGATGAGACATTATAGACAATGAATAAGAATGATTTGAGACGATACTTTAATGATCTTTACAACAAATACATTGCTTGTACTTTTCCGCACACACCGCATCATCTTAGGAGGTCTGAAAAGAGGCATAAATTAATTATTTAACTTCCAAACAGAGGAAGATGGATCTACATTAATATGCTGTACTGTATACTATACTGTACTACCTAGCAAAACACAATTATTTTATGAAACTAGTATTCTTGCACACATTTAAAATAAAGAAAAATCGAAACATATACAGTATAACCCAAATAGAATTTTTCAGTAACATTTCTACTTCCACAAAGAATAATTGAAAGGAAATCACACAGGTTAACATAAATTAAACAACCAGCAGTGCTACATACACAGTGCAATATATACAGTATTGGATTGACAGCTACAATGCAACATCTGTAGCAAAATTCTAACTCACAGTTATTTGTACAAACTGAAAGTTAAATCTACTGAAAACATTACAACCACACTACTGTACGTGTCAAAATAAATAGAATTTGAAATACTATATGGGAGTCCTACTGGGTTAAGGTAAGTGGGTTCTCTCAACCTGCACCACCACATGGTTGTCTGTCACATGTAAACTCCACATTGTCCTTTCAGTGAAGGTAGTTATTCAATTCAACAGCTTTTAATGTTTTCAATTATTGCACCTTTCTGTAATACTGATTATTTCCTTTCTTTTAATTTCCCTCTTAACCCGCTACTGGTCAAATTCGTAGATCTACTTAGGCGAGTGGCCGTCTCCAAGTGCTCTATTACGTAATTTGACTTCTTAAAATTCCAGCGGCATCTGAAATGGCTCGCAAGGATTAATATATTTAAATTATGACAAATAGCAACCTCTGAAGATACAGCAGCCTGTTTCAGTATCGCACACACACACTCTCCTCACCACTTCCCAAGTTTCCTGTCTTCAACATAGGCTAAGAAATATGCCCAAAGACACTAGGTATTGCTGCAGTGAGTGATTATTCCACTGTGCTTGATGTCCTACTTTGAGCAATATCATACCATCATAAACTACTAAACAGAAAAAAAGAAACCTTGTAAATATGTATATACTTATGAATTTATTATAGAAGTAAGAAACTTTGGTGAAAACAACGATATTCATACACTGTATATGCAGGCGGCACATGTGATTAGTAATAGATAATAAGACGTGTTGTTGCCAGTTAATAATGTAAAGAAATGTTAATGAGAAGCAGTAAACCTGTAACTAATACATTGATCACTGTTAGTTGTAAATTAAACATGATAAAAGTGATCAAACTATGTGAGAGGAACAGTGGAGATATAAGCCCAAGAATAGAAAACATGACTCAATGTGTCATCAGAGTATACTGTATTATACCATGCAGCCACAAGCCCCTATGATGAGTCAGCCAAAATTAATGTTATTCTCCTGTTTTATACACAAAAAGCCCAAGGGATCACATTTAACATTCATAACCCGACCAAGCAATATCTTCCCAGATGGTAGCACCTCCCTGATTGATAGCTGCCTACTACCTTGGGGGAACATGACAACAACAATAAACTGAGCATTTAATAAAGAAATAAAAAAGATAATGAAAAAAAAACAAAAAACTTTTTCCTCAGGCACTACTTCATGCTAAGAATAATGATTTTGTTCCACCAATACCAGCAACTTTGGAAAATTTAAAGGAAAGAATATGAGAGGCTGTTACAAATGTTGAGTTTGATATACTGTACTGTACAAAATGTGTATGGTATAGGGAATAAGAGTACAGTACCACTTTGATGTCTGAAGAACCACAGGAGCTCATATAGAACTTCTATAGTTTAAAAATATATACAGCATATATTTTTAGTTCTTTATTATTATGGTATATCTTGTTTTTCACCAGATCTCAGCTTTGTCATAATAAATGTTTGGATGGATCTATCAACAGTACTGTATAGATGGATAACTAATAAATAGCTAAGGAACTGTTCAAGATGGATTTTCATCAAAATACTCTACACCTGGAACTGTAAAATACACTAGATACAGTAAGGAAAAACCATAGACCTGCTGTATCATGATTTACAGTGAAAGGGGAGGGGGGGGGGGCAGATATGTGTTTCACTATTCATAACACAAGGACTTTTATGTCTAACAGGGTAACAAACATTACAGCAAATTAATCTTCTGTTTTTGTACACTGATAATTTCTATCCTTTCCTATCTCTTGCCTTCTACCTCTGTGATACCAACACTACACCAGTCAATCGTACCTGTAAAGTGTTCCATACAATTTCTTCAACCCTGTAGAAAACAAAATTACAGAAAATAAACAAAAAAATAAATAAAAAATATCAACCAAGAACGAATATAGTATAAAGAAATATGGAAATAGTGGCAAAACTCACCTAATTACAACACCTTACTCCCTACAGGTTAATACAGTAATGAGAAACATGCACATATGAGGAGTGAGTACTGAGCATCATGCAGCAGCACAAGTAATTCAACAACAAGAGTTTCACAATAATCAGCACCACTACTGTACACATTAAGCAGTCTTTCCTTTGGTGAATTAGAGAAAAGTGTGTTGAACCATACATAAATATTAACACCTGACATTCACTGACCATAGATATATATATATACTGTACACCTGTCTCACACACACACACACAAATAATAATAATAATAAAAATAATAAAATAAAATTAAGGTTTCTTGAGTGTATGATATTACTATGTTTACCTTGAGTTGCTTCATCTTGGGTGCGCGTCGCTTCATTTGCCGCCGCTGCTCACGTTCTTCCCATTTACGCTGTTTGTCTGGGTCGTCAATCTGTATATTTGTGGCATTTATTAGCGAACATCAACATTTGTTATAATTTACTCCTTAATCTACAGCTTCAAAGACTACCTTCTAAGTGGATGACTTTTCTTCCTAGCAAGACAAGTAAGAACAATTAGCTCAGCCTGGAGTCATAACATGATTACCATACTGTACTGTACTAACTCCCATAAAATGATAAAGTATTAATAATGCAGTGGGTTTGGTCTACTATTGTACCACTCTTGAGTAACTTCCACCAATGACCTACAGTACACACTCACCAACCTCCCTGCTCCTCGTCACACACAGTTATTGTTGTTGATATACTTGTATTTATGGACTCTGATAACCTTTAGATTAAACATAATTTGGCTTCGATAATCTTATTATTGCAACCAAAAACCTAGCAGGTTAGAGGTATGTACACTTGTTCCAACTGATTACAGGTATGTTCACTCATTCCAACAGGTTACAGGTATGTACCGTACACTTATTCCAACAGGTTACAGGCTTGTACACTTGCTTCAAAAGTATGTTTATGATCTTGTGAGACAATATGACACAAGAGATGAAGGATTTTGACAACCCCACCAAAACAACAGGAGACACTGTGTTTACTTTTTAATCCATTGGATCCCCCCATAAAGACACCCTTTGGTGTGAGTGTTTATGTGAATGTTAAGACACATGGAAACACCAGTAATCCAGGCCAGCTGACTGACTGACCAAACAACTGGCAAGCAGACTTGACCAGTGATTACCCCCCCCCCCATACATAAGGCATTGATAAACTAGCTCCACTAACCTATTCATTACAGGATGCCACTTTTAATATTTAGTATGACTAATCCAGACAAATATATTCAGTCTCTTCATACACAGAGACATTTAGCAGGAACTGAAAATGCTAGTCCCATTTGGCTACTATGCTGAACTGTATTTAAGGACATTTATACCACAGACTATACTGTACATAAAAAATTATAAATTATTTGACAGTATAAAAACATTATATATATATATATATATATATATATATATACACACACAAAATCATAAAGACCTGACCTCAAGCATCTTCTCACGCTCCATTCTCTTGCGTTCCTCTCTCTTAGCCTGAGCCATCTCTGCCCGAGCAGCATGGGTAGCCTTAAGGAAGGCCTCCTCAACACGGGAGCGATTCTTCTCTGCCTTTGATTTGCCCTTGAGAGAGAAGAAAATATTAACACAGCATACCATTTACAGATAACCAGTACTGTATTGATTATTCTAAAATAGAACCTTTTTTCTATTTGTAAAGTGGGAAATATTTAGTTGTGAATGATCCTGACAACTCAGGAAGGATGTATGTGGTGTTCATCCTTAAAGAGCCATAACACAGTAATGAAGATGTTGATGATCAAATAATGGGTGACATAATATAAACCAGAAAACAGTTCTATGAGCAAAATTAAATGTTCATCTTCATAATGAGAGCATGTTCGAGAGGAGGCAGATATAGACACATCAATGCAAAACTTTATGGAAATACTTGAGGTAACAGTAGAGGAGTGTTTACCCTGGAGGTCAAGGAAGAGAGGGAATAAAACCAGGTGGATGAATCACAAATGTAGACACGCCAACAAAAGAAAATACCAGTGCTCAGGGCATCATGTGGATTACTCTATGTAGTACTGCACTGTATACAAAAGAGTTCTAAATGTAGCCAACCAGAAAATTAGATCAGCCATAGAGCATTTTGAGATGAAATTTGCCCAAAACATTAAAAAAGATCCCAAGTCTTTTTATGCATATGTCAGGAGTAAAATGAACACCAAGGATATTGTTGGTCCTGGAGGAAGACAGACAAACAGCTGATACCTTATGTGAATACAGACCAAGGTGAGAAAGGAGGTGGTAAATGAGATGTGCACCCCATTAAGGCCCTTAATCAGGAAATCCTTAGATCAAGGTTAAGTGCCTAGGGACTGAAAATCAGTCAACATCACCACAGTATACAAGAAAGGCAGGAAAAGTGCAGCAGAAAACTACAGGTCCATCAGCCTAACATCCCATATATACTAACTCTGAGGGACGCCATCATCCAACAGCTGACCAAACAGTCTTATCAATGTATCACAACAAGGTTTCATGGAAATAAAAATCATATTTGACAAATTTAATCACATTCCGTGAAATGGTAACAATGCGTGGACCAAGGCTCACTAATGGATGTGTTGTACAGGGATTTCTCCAAGGCGTTTGAGAAAGTCACACATGCATGACTAGCTTCTAAGATCCAGGCACATGGCATCACAGGCAAGACTGTGATGTGAATTAACAACTAACTCAAAGACGCAACAGTGTGGTAATAAATGGAGTACATTCTGAATGGAAAAAGATTCTCAGTGGAGTACCACAAGGCTCTATTCTTGGACCCATCCTGTTTGTGATCTACATAAACGACATAGATGAAAATATATTAAGTCACAATGTCAAGTTTGCAGACGACATGAAAATGTTTGGGAGGTAGCAAGTTAAGATAATGTCGCAACACTGCAGAAGACCCGAATGAGCCGTTCAAATGGCCTTGAGACTGGCAAATGCTCTTAACATTATACAGTACATAGGATACAACAACCCTGAGCATAACTTACTGTACAGTAATCTTATTAGTACTTTCCTGGATACTGTAAATAAGGAGAAAGATCTTGGCATTGTGAAAGGTCATTCACTGAAGGCAGTGCAGAAAAGCAAAATTGATATGTGGGAATTATAAAGCGCACCTTCAAATACAAAGATAGGAAATTGCTCCTTCAACTGAACATGTACATCCCGGTCTGGATTACTGTATACAGGTATGGAAATCTTGAAAGAACTAGCATCCCTAGAAAAGGTGCAACACGGAGTGACTAAGATGATTCTGGAACTATGTCATTTCAATTATCTGAGTAAACTGAGGGCCTTAGGACTAACAACCCTTCAGACAAGGCACAATATGGCAAAACTCATTGAAATACACTGTATTCAAAATCCCAAAAAGGATGGAAAACATGCACCCGGGACATTTCTTTGTGATGTTACGCACCATCAGCACAAGGGGACAAAACTACAAGCTCATCAAGTTATCATGCAGAAGGAATATAAGGATATATTTTTTCACAGAGGCTGGAAGACCTATGAAACAGTCTACCAGCCCAAGCTGTGGAATCAAGAACAGTACTGGGCTTCAAAATAACCCTTGACAAGACTATCAAGAACGAGGGGTCTTACACAGGCCACGGCCTCTTTCCCTCAGCATGGCCACCTGTAGTGGGTGGCCATTAGGTAAATAAGGTAAACGTAACCATGCCACCTGAAAATTAAGGCACTACAGTACATGCAATATATAAATTATTTTTCCCACATTCTTCACGACAAAAATAAACATACCTCCTTGCTGAGCTTGAACCTGCGCAATTTGTCAGTCAAGTGAAATACTAGTTGTAGCAGAGGTTTCATACTCTCAATAGCATCCATGGAGGGGTTGCCACGTCCAGGGAAGTTAAAGCCAAACACTAAGGACCTGCGCACCTCTGGCAGTTTGGTTGGTTGAGTGTCCCTAAAAAATAAAAAAATATATTTTTGTGGTAAAATTATTCTTTAGTTAAAATAAAGACCGCTACCTTTATTCTTATTAACACTATCTGAAAAAAAGCAGGAATATAATTTTCAAAATAGCAGGTAGAACTTTTTTAAGGCAGTCATAAGTTTGAGTAAGTTAATAGTTTTATTCTATAAACTGTACAGAGTAATTTTTGGTATGTGGGCCCATGAAGAATGTGTCTGTATCTGCTCTGGTTCCAGTCACCCTGCTGTACTGTAGAAGAGTATTGGGAAATGTATACAAGTTTATAATCATCACTTGACAAGTGTAGTACAAAAGTAAAGGACAGGGGCTGAAACAAGTGACCTGTGATCCAAACTGTTTACACACACTCTGGCAGTGCCCACCCACCCACTGTACATAGAAACAATCTATAAAAACAATTTCCCATAATGCATTCATGTTGACTGTTCAGTAGAAAAGTGAGCTACCTCTAGCTCCCTTAACTCTTTAGAGGACAGGGCAGCACGGAGGTATTTTATTCTCACTTAACCTCTATTTGGAAGTTATAACAATTAACCCGTAATCATTACCTAAGGATTCTCCACTCCCCTCTTCTATATGCACAAAAATAGACCACAACACACCATTCTAAACATTCTCAGGCTGTTTTACCAATCCTCTAAGGTTTTGTATTTCTCTGGTGACCCAGTTTATAATTTAATTCATCCATCCCAGTCTCTGCCTTCCCCTGGCCCTCCTACCCTCAACTTTGCCCATTAATATTTGTTATTATCCCTGATGATAGTCAGCATTTAAGGGTCAATTATCACCTAACTAACCAAATGTAGAATACAGTATCTATCATTGTTAACTACTAAAGTTCAGAAAAATTGACCTTTCCTTCTAACAATAAGAATTTCATAGAGGGACTAACTGAAGTTTGATATATCAAGTTACTAACTCACTTATATTCATATACTGTACAATGTGTCCACAAGCACAGGTTTATGTTTATTTTTAACATGAGTAAACATAAAATAATATACAATACACTATAGTGAACTGCTAATAACAAGTAATATTTTCCTCTTCTCAATGTTTTAAACGACTCACCTGAACAAACTGAGAAAAATACATACATTTTCTCAACAGATTAAAATTCTGAGACAGAATGTAAAAAATCAAAGAAAATAATTAGACAACATTTAAGTGATATTTAAAAAGTGGTTAAAATAATCTAAGAAAATGCTATTAAAAAACTCCAAACTACTGGAATAGAATACAGTACAGTACAGTACTCTACATGACTGCCAGATGTACTGATAAGTTTGGGATGAGAATATTGTTAGAGCAGCACAAAGCCAGAAGCTGCCTACACTAGGATTAATTATAAGGATAATTTTTTTTATCTTACCTGCCCTCAGTTCCTCTACGAGACATGAAAATGAAGCAACATAGGACTACAGTATCACACATTACAGTACAGTATACAGGGTGGTTACAGTACAGTATACAGGGTGGTTACAGTAAAGTATCTAAATAATAATAAAGCTCATATGTTCTTGGTAAAGCTATTACTGTACACAAAATATCTTCAGAGAGAAAATTCAAGTTAAAGTATTACCAAGAGGCAGCCAACACCACTACTGTACCTATATACAAACATGTTATTTAACACTGCTGAAAACATGATGATCAATACTGAAAAAGTCGTCTACTTAGTTGGGTAAAACTGTGGTAAGTACAGAACTGTAACTAGGATATGCTGTACACTGTAGTTTTAATATACTGTATAGAATAATATCTACTTAATTTACATTTGCTATATTTGAGTATCAGGAATTTGAAATGCTTGGGACAAAGAGGGTTTTGGAAGTGGATAATTTTGACAATTTTATATACCGGTATCTACTCCAGGAACCCACATACAGTATATGAAGTACTGTATTTTATAAAACTGACCAATGTTTTGTTACACCATAGTGTGGCCTGTAATCAGTCACGGGTGTAAGATGTACACATGAATGCCACTACAACTGACAATACTGGTACCGGTATATTTACAATAACCAAGAGAAGCACATATTCAACATACAACAATTATAAACAACCAAACTGCTTGAATTATTACTTAATGTGACATAAAAGCACTGAAAATTCATTATATAATGTACTACTTCCATTGACTACTATTGTAAGCAGTGGGACTGCCAGCTGCACAATGTTTTCAACTTTACATATCATCACTGGTTTTGTTATTTCACTACAGTAGTTTAATCTTCACTAAATACTCATCATGTGTTGTTATTAAATTTGTCTATCGAGTGGTTCTCAATGTAAAGAATGTCGGAGACCCAATTTAAGTCACACGCATGCATGTGTGCACACACTGCTAATCTACCAAGCACACGGATGGCTCAGTTTTTCATTATCTAATCTGTATTTGACTATACAGTACAGTATAAGGAAAAAATGCAGTATTATTATCCTATCTTCTTAATCTTTGTTCGTATTTACTATTAACCTAGAGCTGAAGTGATGAATGATAACTCTTAGGATGAAGAAGTGGACGCTGGAGTCAGCTGGTGAATCGTCTGCAGTTATGAAAACATCAGAACAAAAATGATCTTGGTAACTCCTGCTGTTTGAATAATCATACTCATAAAATATTATCCATGCTGGTTGTTAGCTTCACTAAGGTGTTTTCTTTTGTGCACAGACTTATTTGTTTTGATCTCAGCACAAAACTCAAGTTATTTGTCACACATTTTTTCTTTGAGCAATAAATTGTATACAGTAGTTCAGTATTGTACTGGTCGGTCATTGAAATTCCTTTTTTATTTTTTTGAGAATTCTTTTTTTCTTTGATAATAAGCACTTATATTTCTTTCTGCACTACAGCAATCAGTACCATCACTTCTGCATTTGTTTCGAGACATTTCAAGGGGAGCATACTTAGTTAATATCCACAATTCTTTCTGAGTGTTGAAAAAGTAATATGGGCATCAGCTAACCAACCCAAGCTAGGTCAGCTGATGAGATGTGGGGGAAATTTTAAATCAGAAAATACTTCAGCATTTTGGTTATTTCTGAAAATTAATCTTTGGATTCCTGATACTCAAGTGTACTTTTATTCCAATTTAAAAAATTAAAATTGTCAAGCTAAAAAGATGCAACTACATGTACTATAATTGCAATATAAATTTTAATTTCACAATCCAAATTGAAAAATAAATGTTGACAACAAAATCTTGGGCATGCAATTGTGTAAAAGAGCCAAATGAACTCACTTCTTTGATTTCAAGTTCACTCTGGGAATCCCAGTTAGTAAAGTACAGTACATTACATATTGTATTGTATTTCTAAAAAAAAAAAAAAAAAAATATTACTGGTAAACTTACTCTGGTTGCTTTGGTCCTGAATACTGATCTGAGAAATGGAAGAAGTCAATCATCCCAGAAAATTTATTGAGCACCGCTGTAACTTTGGGGTCACCCAGCACAGTTGATGCCACTTCACCGAGCTCGTTCATGATAACAAACTGAGAGCCCAGACCAAACTTGTCCGCCGACTTCTTCTCGGGACAAAACGTACTCTGAGAAATAAATATACGTACAGGTACTACTTCGGCACACTTAGGAGAAACCTACATTACTGTGCTTCATTTGCATTAAACTTTCATCCTATCATGTACCAAAGGGTCATCTTGTGTTAACCATAAAATATCACTGCTTCAAACTTTACATATACAGGTACAGTATCCCTCATTACACAAACGTTCACTTATACCAACATTCTATTCGTACTCCACTTTCTCACTAACAAAACCCATGGTCTCTCAAGGTAATGGACCAAACTTATATTAAATTAATTTTTTAATGTACTAGGTGCTAAATTACAGTAGTTGGGTAGGTTTTTTGTTGCTTGTGAACCTATTTCATATTGTCTAGGTATAATATTGAAGTTTTCTTATCAATGGGAACCAAATCTTATTTTTCCTATATGTTATTTGATTTGATATATGAATACAGTAGTCATGATTTTCAAGAGACCTAACCCATTTGTATGGCGAGAGAAACCTGTACAGTATAGCGATAATGTTTAAGTGATTACTGCAGTTGTGTGCAGGTGGTTATAACATTGTGAGTCAAAAGCTCCTAATGGTCAACTGGAATACAATTATTTTTCTTTGTCCTTAATGATCCTTACTTCAAAAAACAGCAACAATGATAAATATGATATAATAAAACCTGTCCTTCCTTACAATGTCAGTCATCTCCTTTGATAGTCTTGCAGCTGTTTTCTTTGTGGCAAGAGCAAACACAAAGGCATCCATTTCATCAAGATGGACCTTCACCAGCAGCTGGTCACTAGAAGGACGGATCAACTGGGACACCACACCAATCATGTCTTGTCTCTGTAAAAAAAAAAAAATAAATAAATATAATTAATCATAGGAAATATCCTCCTAGACTTCATCAACATGTATAAGGGAATTTAATTTGTGTAATGTTTAGTTATAAACCTAAAATTAATATACTTATTTCCTTTATATTGGGACAATCTGATGGATAATACGTGTGAAATTTCTGGCACCCATCTCTCTTGAACAAGTCTCCGCCTAGAAAAGACCTTCACACATACCATCAGAAAACATCGTTTGTACATTTGCTTATTGGCTCCTGATTCCACCACCAACAAACAGCTAAGTCCTTAATGAAAATATTAGGTTAGTTTAGGTGAGAGAATCTCCTTACTCTATCTACACATCAATTGAAAAAGATACAATAATATATGATGTATCCAAACACTATACTGACATCATGAAATATCTAAACAAAGCCTTTAATAAATGTTCTTTCCATGTTGTCATCCCCTAAGCATTCAAGGAAACAGCTAACCACCTCACACTCACCCAATTTCACAAACTTCGTAGGATATAACCACTCCCAAATTTGGAGAGAACAGTAGTGTGACCCTTAACCCTTAACCCTGGGTGACGTTCCAGAACGCTCGCCTCTTCCCGCCACAGTTTAAATGTCCAGCACGGGTTATCAGGTTCCAGTGTGACTACAGGTGCTCCTCTACTTAAGAACGTTCAACTTACAAACTTTCAGAGAAACAAACATCATCACTGAGGGGGGTTACCTGCCAGAACAGGTGTTTAATGTGGATGAGACTGGATTATTTTGAAGAAAATTCCAGATAGAACAAACATTACCTAAGAGGAGAAGAGTGAGCCAGGTTTTAAAGCTGTATTAAATATTAATAATCTTTTCATTTTTTACAATATGTTTGGTATCTACAAGAGTAAAGGTGAACTTACAAACAATTGGACTTACAAACAAGCCTCGGGAATGTAGCTTGTTCATAAGTAGAGGAGCACCTGTATTTGCCTGTCACGCCACATGCTTGGCCACAGGGAAGCTTCCCGAATGTAAGATACCTACTTTTGTTTGTTTCATTTTCTTTGTTTGTCCATTTTATCATGTTGTATCAAAGTAATATTGCTAAAAGTAGTGTAGTACAGTGTATTACTGGAAAATAATGCTATGATTATGTTATAAATGTATTTATTTGTGGAATTATTATTATTTTATGCATTACTTGCTCTACCAAACACAAAGACAGCCAGACAGCCTGGCGACTGACTGCGTGTGTGTTGCCAAGCACTTTTTATGAAAAAAAATGCAAATAAAATATTCTAAATGAATTATTTTAGGAAATAAGTACCCTGTACAGGTAACTCGCGTTTTACGCGCGTTTGATTTAAGAGTTTTTGGAATAATGAGATTGTTCAATTAATGCCAAAAGCTAATTTACGCACACCTATTTTTTAAATAATGCGCTCAAGACAGTTTAAATTTGCCACACGTATTCGCCTGGTGGCCTGGTTGTGGGGTCGGGTGGTGAGGTGCTTGTAAGTTATTAATATAAAGTTGCAATCATAACAACATCAACAATTTTAGTATTACTATTAATAATATTAATTATTATAATAAGGTAATAATAAAGATTATTACTACTAATGAAGTTAATAATGACAATGAAGTATTCTGTACAACAACTGTGGTGACGTCCAGCAAGCTTCCCTCGTATCACTTTCTCACTACTTTTTCTCTGTGCTCTCATTTGCATTGTGTGTTTATCATGTGTCTTTTTAGTGTTAAACTCTGTTTTCCCCATTGAGCATGTCTGGAAAACGTCCATCTGCCTCCTCTGGGCCGCCTAAAGCTAAAAAGACACGAAAAACAATCGCAATGGACGTGAAATTAAATGTGATCACCCGCCCTGGCAGTGTGTGTGTGATGACATCACATCAGCGGGAGGGAGCACAGGTGGGTGGCGAGTCGGTGACACAGTTACTACCCGCTGCCTCCATGAGTCCACCAATAAGTTCACTTCCCACACACTCACCCATGCTCTTCGTTTTTCTAATCTTATTGTTTTATACAGGTATTTTATATTATTTATATCTAAGCTACAATAGAGTACAGTATTGTAATGATTATTCCACAACTTTTATAGTTTCATTACCTGTAACACTGACAACAAGCCATCTCACAGGTCCTCTCATCCCCAGTTTTTACCCCTTCTTAGTGAGCCAAACTATTACTAAAGTAAATTTTGACCAAACATAAATTATTGCACATTCTTGTAGGTATGTCAAGGCATCCGAACCAACATTGGTCCTGATGAGTTCAGATAAAAGGACTACCATTGTACCCAGCCTCACCCCTTCCTCACTTAGGAATCTTCATGACTTTTACAGGATAGCTCCCTCCTCTCTATCTCTGTTACAGTACATTTACCAGTTGTTCTTAATATTTTCCCTCTCCCCCTTTATTCTTAACTGTCCTTTCCATTTGTTTTTTTTTTTTGGTTTTCTTGCATCAATCAATTCCCTCCAGAACACCATCTCACTTCCTTTCGGCTTTGCATTACCTCCCAATATTTTAACAGCTGATTTTCTGCTTTCATTTACTGCTGTCTTTACATTTCTTATACCTCAACTTTTATTACTCCTTAATTGTAACTATATAACCTTCTCTTTCCCTTACTTACTCAACCACATAGTATGCCATTTTTATTCACCTTTTGTTGGTAATATGAGTAAAGAGAGTGAGGCTACCATATCCAAGCCTTCCGGACTATCTATACACTGTACATCAACATACTGAACTGTGTTTCTGGCCGTACTAATCCAATTACCTGTACAGAGCCCACCCCCTCCCCTCCCCCCAGGTTTTATTGTTAAACTCATCACAACAGCAGTACAGTGTCTCGCATAACTGCCGGTATCCAAAAACAAGGCAATTCGGTACAGTACATGGACAAAGATTACCATTCAGTACAAAGAGGCATGTGATAAAAAATGAAGAAATCTTACCTTAATAAATTTTAATTCAACAAGCATTCCCTCCACGCTGGTGCGCCCAGAGCACCAGAGAGTGTAAACATTCTCAGACTCCTTCTGCAGACCACTGTTCTCTACACTTTGTTTCCCATCATCACCTATAAAAGAATGATACAACAAATAAACCTGAGATACACACAAGTTACTTATAATGTGAACCAAGTTTTCTCAGTGAAATTCTAGAATGAAATTTATATGCAATTTAAAATATGATTAAAAAATAAATGCATAAATAAAAACCAATAAACTTTCCCGTTTTGTTATTTACAATGTCAGTTTCTTCAGTAGGGAATCTTAAGTTGCATCAACAAAAATTGCAATCCCTGTGACTATCTGCCCTTACTGTAGCAGCAAGGACATTCTTAGTCACTTTTACTTAGTCTGTGAACCACCGAGGGTATTGTCACCTTAACCCTATCAGGTTAATAATTGTGTAAATAATATAACTCTGTCTCAATAGTTACAAATAAAAATATTCATGGAATGTTCCTTTGATGATCATGTATGGATAACAGCAGAATCCTACCAAGATACTGTACTACATTTTAAAATGCTCCAATACTGTCAATCTTTCTTTACAAAATATCTAATCCATCGTTTTTAGTATCAGCCTATGGCATTCCTTAGAGCCCCTTATTCAACTGCTGATCATTATGTAGACACATTAGTGTAACCAAATTCAAAAGTCAAAACAAGACTCACATTCATATCTTCTTAGCTTACAACTATCCACTAACTGACACAACTTTGATATCAACTTACCAACAAGGGCAAAATTCTGTTCAAGAAGATTCTTGTGGGAATTATACCAAGCATTAGCCAACTTCTGGTTCTTGGATTTACCAACAATGAAGTTGATGAAATAAACAACCAGTCCAGCAATCATTAACATCTCTAGATAGAAACTGTCCCAATTGCTCCGAAGATGAAGTGGAACCTATCAAATAAAAACAAAATATTTGATTATTTTTTAATTATGAATACCCGATCGATTATATTTAGCACAGCAGCTTCATATCCACTAAATTTATCCATATTTTGAAGCAAATTTACAAGCATAAATGGATGATTTACTTACATTAGCAATGGTAATCTTTGGTTCCTCTTGTGACTTGGGCACACGAGCCCCCTGAGGTCTCTCACTGTCAAACCCAATAAACTCTTCTTCATCATGAAAATGACTAAATTCATCATTCTCATCTTCATCCTAGAATTAAACAAGATACTATTAATTTTTTGGTTAGAACTATATATTGTATAGAGGGAAGCCTAAAACAGACCATCTCGGGACTTTACCAGTACTGGGGGCCAGAGGCAGATCAAGGAGTTTCCTGTGAGGGAGCACAGATAATTAGGGGCAACAAACATGGACCTGAAACAAGCCACTTTAGATAGTGTGTATTGACACCACTGTAAAAGTATTCTACGCTCAAGACACACTACACTGCAGCGAGAAAAATGTACTGACAAGGAGCAGACTAACATGGAATGATGGCAGTATTCTGTTGAGGCACCACACAAGCCAACTGTAAATAGAAATAATACTGCCATTGGTCAAACAAATGGCCAATTAAGAATACAGTATTTTAATATTAGGGGAAAGAGCGTCAAAGCCAGAGAGCATCTCAGATGAAGCGGGGAATGTACTCCTCATGCTTAGAATTCCTTAGAAAAAGTAGTCTTATATTATGCATTCTAAATAAAATTTGTCTTAATAACAGCAGATTTCCTCTGTTTCTGTTTAAATTTCACAAGCCAATAAACCTGAACATTCCCTATCTTTATGGACAGTTTTCTCAATGGTAACTACAGTATTTCTCACTTTACCTCTACAACTGCTTCTTCCTCATCTTCCACATCCATTCGCAATCCACCAGAAGTTTCATCACCACCATCTTGCCTCCCTGCACTGCGAGGCAACCCTTCTTCATTTCCTTCAATCCCTTCTTCAATTATTTCATCCTCCTCTTCAAATACTTCAAATTCAGCAAAATCATTATCTTCGTATTCTTGCGCTCGGGAACTAACGCCAATAATCCCAGTAAGAAGCAAGAGGAGTAGTAAAAGTCTCATCTGAAATAATTAAAATTTTACAGTCAACACATCAAAAACATCCATTTGGTTCAATAGTTACCACAGATAATTGAATGTAAAATTTCAGTTTAAAGGCATACTGCTTAACCACAGCTTTATTTTATTGTAATTGGATATTAAAATTGACCATTGACCAAAGGTACAGTGAGACCTTTATTTAATGGATTATATTGGAGAGCTGGTGGCACAGTTATGATTGTTTTCTTCCTCTGCAATTTTTGTGCGAGTCAAAACCAACATCTCAAAAATCACATTCCTTCTCCATTTTTTTTTTATGTTTCTTGAGGTACAGGAGCTTTAATCTTCTATGACAAAATTCGGTCAGGTAGCTGCTACAGCTGGACCACTTGTCAAGCTTTACCCATTTGTTAGAATATAACAAAAATGCAGGATATACTATATCCAGCATTTTCTTAAGATCATAATTCTTTTCCCATTTTTTTTTTCAACGAAGCAAACCTAACCCAAAGCTAGGTTAAGTTAATTGGTAATTTTTTATTTCGGACAACATGGAAATCATAAGAATTTTATCTCTGTAATCAATAGTTTAGACTTTTCTTCTGAGATGTTTCCCTCGCAAATGACCTAACCTAACCTCATAGCCGGCGGGCTTCGCCCCTCCCCCCTCGGACCGCCAGGCATATAGTTTGCGAGGGAATCATGATAGAGGAAAAGTGTATTAGAATAGTCTAAACTATTGATTACAGAGATAAAATTCTTAAGATTCCCGTGTTGTCCGAAAATACAATAATACCGTTAATTGAAATAAACTTACTTATGATCTTAAAATAATGGTAGTCTTGGAGCAGATGGCTAACACCAGAACGAGTTGTTCGATTTTGTTCATTTTTTCCACAGATGTTCTTAGGATGATAGTAAGTAATAAAAATATGACAATGCACAGAATCTGACCTAACCAATCAAAGAAACCTACCTTGACTAACCTAACTCCTCAGACGGGGGCTCCACCCCCACCATATTAAGCAGAAAGTACTTATTTTGATAACTGGTACCAATGAAAGCAACTATGTTAGAGCATCTTGGTGTAATTTTTATTTTTTTGTGGATGTGGGAATACGCTCCGACCGACCGGGTCCGTTGTAAACAAAGAGAAGACGACCAGCAGATTTTACGAAGGAATATTTACGATATATGATGAATTATATGGCATACAAAGCACGTAGAGACATTATTTTAGTGTCATATGATCAGTTTTTCCCTGTATTTTACCCAGAAATGACCCTCATCCTTCATACCCTGCCCACTACAAGTGATTTATGATTGTAAATAGAGAAAAATAATTATTTATGATTAAAATAAAAAATTGCGTCTTTTTCATTACTTACTATCATCCAAAGAACATCTGTGGAAAAAATGAACAACTTATTCTGGTGTTATCCTTCAGCTCCTGTGCCTAACGTAAAAGTACCATTAATTTGAGGTAATATTCACACTTGGTTCAATAATGGATGTTTTTAATTCACCAGAGTGAACACAGCTTGTGAGGCGCTACACTAAAATATTTTGGGAGTGATTGTCAGCTCAGCAAGGCATATGACCTATTTGCCATTTCATAAGTATATTTAATGTAGTTCCTTGATCCATAACTAGATTTACATTCAATGAGTAAAAACAAACAAACATTTAAAAAAAAAAGAAGTCATTTGGCCCAGTTATAAAGTGGCACAAGAGCCATCACGTGCCAACGGTCCGACTAATTACCCAAATGTAGTCGCAATGAAGTCAAATAATGGTCCTAGATGAATAAATCAGACTGTGAATCACTTCTCGATTATTATTTGGTGTCATAAAGTCACAAAAAATTGGTAAACTTAATTTAATCTGAGTTGTGTTAGGTTAGGTTAGGTACATGCACTAGATCTATTAACTCAGATTAAATTAAGTTTACCAATTTTTTGTGACTTTATGACACCAAATAATAATCGAGAAGTGATTTACAGTCTGATTTATTCATCTAGGACCATTATTTGACTTCATTCCGGCTACATTTGGGTAATTAGTCAGACCCCATGCCAATAATGATCTCTACTGTACACTAAACTACTCTACCCAGTAATAATCTATCTCATTACGTGAATTGAAATACAGGACGTACCTATAATTAATACAGAACTTATAGGAAGATGAAAAAGTGTAGATCGGTGAGAAAAATATGACAGTGACAGGAGTGGACAGTGAGGAAGCTGAGAAACCCTATAAAAACATCCTCTACTGTCATATTACCTTAAAATCTAAATTAAATCTAAAAAAATTAATGAGGTACTTCTCTGATTATCGTCTTCTGATCTTACACTCAGGAAGTAACTGTATTAGGGGATTTCTCTTACGTTTATGACTATGGAGGAACTTTGTTGGTGGCCTCACGTCAGCGCTGCCATCACTGGTGGAGCAGCAGACGGCTTCCAGGCTGGAGAGGGGCCTTAACTCTAATCAAAGGTTTCCTATATAAATAACTATAAAATCTTCCAAACTTACTTTATGCTTGGTTAATTGTTCATGTTAGTTTCTCTAAATAGGTTAATAAAACTTAAATAATTTGTACAAATAATATAGACTTACTTTATGCTTGGTTAATTGTTCATGTTAGTTTCTCTAAATAGGTTAATAAAACTTAAATAATTTGTACAAATAATATAGTAGAAAAATTCTTTCAATTATTTGGTCATTTACATTAAAAGGTGTAGGGGTATCGAGATATTAATGTTGTCTAGCACTCAGGATGGAAGGAAACTCTAATGTGGTTTTCTTGTTTAATATAAGTTATATGATAGACAGTCTGGTGCTGGAGGTGCCGTGTGGTGGGGAGCTGCTCAGTAGAAGACGTTCGGTGAGTAGCGTGTTGAAGGAGGAAGATGTGCAGGAGCTTCGTTAGAGAAGATGTTGCCTGTTGCTGGCCTCCTGGTTGAATGAATGTTAACAGCGTGGAGCTTGCTGGAGGAGGTGTTGCTTGTTCAGGAAGATGGGCAGAATGAATCTCAATGGAGAGACAGAGCTTATATACCCAGCAGCAGCCGCCAGTCCTCTATGAATCGTGTTGGGAAAACCCAGAAAGTTGCTGGTGACTAGTTTCGTTGCTAAGCAACCGTACCATCTGGCGTCAGCTCTCGCTTGGTTGCTAGGAGACGGCACGTCGGAATAGGGTAGCAGGTGGTGGCTGTGGCTACGCAGTTGTAGGCAGTTGTAGGGGAGACGTCCACTACAATACTCCCCCATCCCTCCAGGCGGTGTAGGAGACTTGTTGTCTGTAGAGTTGCTTAGCACATGTGAGGCAGACCGGGCGGTGCATGCCTCATGTGAGACAACGGCGATGGCGTGATGAGCCGATCGCTGAAATACAACTGTCTAGATACACACTATCTGTGGGAGAAGGGAGAAAAAGGGTGTGTGGAGGCGATGAATGTTGTGCTTCCCTCACGACAGGTACAGGGTCGTCAGATGCGCCTGCTGGGGTGTGTGTGGGCCTGGGTCAGGAGCAGGGGCTGCGTCAGCAGAAGCGGATTAGGGCTCGTGACAGCAGCTGGGTCCACGACAGCAGCAGGGTGCAGGACATTAGCAGGGAGTACCTGAGGGAGAAAAGAGGGGGTGTGGAGGCGATGGATGTTGTGTGCTTCCCTCACGGCAGGTACTGAGTCGTCAGATGCGCCTGCTGGGGTGTGTGGGCCTGGGTCAGCGTCTGAGGCAGGACGGGTGTGCTGGGGTCGTAGGATGTGGTGCTTGGGGCAGGAAGAGGAGCCGGTGTCTGCTTGAAGACTGGGAGCATGATCAGTGTCTCCTCCATCCTGTGTGAGTGCTAATCTCCGGGAGTCACCATTTGTAGGGGTATCGAGATATTAATGTTGTCTAGCACTCAGGATGGATGGAAACTCTAAGGTGGTTTTCTTGTATAATATAAGTTATATGATAGACAGTCTGGTGCTGGAGGTGCCGTGTGGTGGGGAGCTGCTCAGTAGAAGACGTTCGGTGAGTAGCGTGTTGAAGGAGGAAGATGTGCAGGAGCTTCGTTAGAGAAGATGTTGCCTGTTGCTGGCCTCCTGGTTGAATGAATGTTAACAGCGTGGAGCTTGCTGGAGGAGGTGTTGCTTGTTCAGGAAGATGGGCAGAATGAATCTCAATGGAGAGACAGAGCTTATATACCCAGCAGCAGCCGCTATGAGTCATGTTGGGAAAACCCAGAAAGTCGCAGGTGACTGGTTCCGTTGCTAAGATACGGTAACATCTGGTTGGTTGCTAGGGAAGGCGGCACAATGGAATGCGATACGCAGTTTGTAGGGGAGACGTCCACTACAAGTTCATATTTCCTTTGTATCTCCTTAATTCTGGAATGCCTGTCAATATCCAGGTATCTACAGGAAGGCGAGACATTGATCCTACTATATGTGGCCAAAAATAACTCTGAACATATTCAATTATCTTGAAAAAAGTTAAATACATTGGTATGCTGGGTTCAGGTGTCAAGACGCGAGGGAAGATTTCTTATAGTTTCTTAATTCTGCAAAGTCAGTCAATATCAGGTCATCCAGAAAACCGCGAGACAATGTTCTTGCCACGTCTGACAAAAGAAAACAATAATATCGCCCAAAATATAAGAAATACCAGAGTTTCATCACTTAATTCACCGGCGGCAGTTGTGACGATTAAAGCTAGGATTCCATTCATGTGGTAGCAGTAGCGTTAGCGGCAAAAGTAGATCACATAGAAATGTACACGGTTGTTTCCACTGGCACGGCTGCGTTAGCGTTATGCCATTAAAAAGCAACCTCATACAAGCCACTGAATCCCACACAGGGACGTCACTATCCCTGTGTTTGCTCTCCTCACCCAGCAAAATGACTCGAGGGAAAAAAAAGTCTTCTGTCGAGGAGACTGAGAAGTTGATTTTACTCAATATATCACAATCTGTTTTTATAACACATTTCTATAATGCATATAGAAACCTAGCAAGTGTTATTTCATAACTCATTAAGCATCAGTCTTTACATATAATTTTACGAGATCCATACATTTTTGACAACTGTTCTAAATTGAAGGTTCATGGTCTCAATAAAAGGTTTACTGGAATACAAATTTTTTGTGTCACTTAATTATTAATTCCTATTTAAAACATGACTTACCTTATAGGCTACATATTGCAAGTCGCTGCCTTGGGCAATTGACTTCTCTGTTCCTGCAGTGTTTCATCAAATCCTCCTCCACCAGGTCAAGAACATGTGTGAACTGTTGTCTGCCCAGACGAAAATATTCGTTGATTTCTCTTCCTCCAAGCTTAGCTCTTTTACCAGAGTACTGTAGGCTCCATATTTGGTCCGATTCAGCATCAATCTATGTTTTAACATTATAATATTAAATAAAAACAATTTTTATACTGTACAGTCGAGTCTCCACACCTAGCTAGAGATGGCGGACACCCGCCCCACAAGGGGTCACAGCTCAAGGTTGAAAAAGCCGCAAAGTCCAGAAAATTGTGATGGCGAACTTTTTCGGAGTGAGGGTTGTGAACTCGTGGAACATCCTGCCAGAGAGTGTTGTGACGGCACCGAGTGTGAGCTGTTTCAAGACCAGACTTGACCAACACTGGAGCAGGTTCAGATACATTCAGGAGCCGGTGCATGTCCAGTACTTGTCAACAGTACGTAATAGAGACGTGACCGACCGTCCAAGCGGCTAATGAGCCGATCAGTGGCAAAGAGGATAACAGTAAAAAGTAAATACAAGAAATTGTCAGTGTATATAAACTATGCAGGTACTGTATATAGGTATAGGCTAAGGACCTCTCAGTGGTTGTACAGTACTTTTCCGATTCTTAACCATTTGGTTTTTCACGGAACGACACAAAATTTCCAAAACAAAGGTCAAGTTAGGTTAGGTTTGGTCAGGTTTGGTCAGGTTTGGTTTGTTTTTTGCGTGTTTTATTCATGTTATTTGGGTTGGGCTGGTAAAGTTTTCATGAATTTGCTCCAGAAATAAATACACATGAAACTCTCAATTCCGTCCAAAAGGTCGCAGGTGATCCTAAAGCGAATTATAACAGAAAACTTCAAATTTCCTGCCTATATTTTCGAGAATGCAACAGTATCCTGCTCACCTTATATACTGTAATAATACTCTGATGTTAACTGGCAATACTGAAGAATAGAGATTTTATCAGTACTAGATGCGTTAAATAAACAGTTCATAAAACTAATGAACTGTCAACATGGCAGAAATAAGAGTGCAGCTACCTCTCTAGATCTTTCAGAAATAGAAAGAAAGACAAGTTTCTGTTCCTTACAGTGTTGGTAAGGGATTTAATAGCTGCACAGTACCGGGGTCACATTACAGCTGCTGAAAAATGAACTAATCAAGATACTCTTTGACATCAGCTTTACTTTCCAACAGAATTATTAAGACCCCTACATCACAAAGACTTATGAAGAGCCTTACGTTTCCAAAAAAACTTCCGAATAAACTGACCATTTATAGCAAAGACATTTATATTTTTATCACCATATGTCTCAAGCGCTTGAAATATCACTAGGCAAATAAATTCTTGTTTCAGTAGCCTGTCTATCCTACCTAGGCTAAAATTCCATATCCGTGCCGCACTATACTAGGCTACGAATCTCTTATGTAAATTTATTTTGAAGACGTGCAGTACTATGAATCGGGATGATGATTTCCATTGAAAAAAATAAAAGAAATATTAACATTATATTTATTTATTTTGTATATGAATTATACATATCTATACATACATAATTGGTGCAATTTTCTTTTTACCAATTATATCAGATATAATTAGAGACAAAGTAATGATGTCAAGAGTTCCATTATTTATCTCACTCGGTCTAAAACTATAAAAATGATGACTATAAAAGAATATATGTGTCAAAAAATAACTAATACAGTATAACTTAAAATTTGGCTCAGGGTAAAAACACAGGAGGTAGACACTTTATAAATATCCTAATTAAAGCTAATCAAGACTTTTTCCTGTAACCTTTGTCCCGATAATACTGTCCACATTCCTGAGAATGTGGACAGTATTATGTTAACAGAAAACCTCGATATATTGATATATCTCAATGCCACAGTAAACAAAACTATTATAGTGTCCCAGAAAATGTCCCTACCTCCCTCCAGCTAGCAGTGTTTCAGGGAGGGACACACACACATATTGTTACGCCGTCTCTTAATTTACTTTAATATCCAGGTTCTAGGCGCAACCCAAAAAAAAAAAAGTGAAGTAAATCAAAAGGGAATAAAAATAAATAAAGTAAACCTTTAAATTTAATTAAATTAAATAATAACAATAATAAAGAGCCACATAGGCTGTCACAGTAAATTGATTCACTATCGAAACTTTTAAGACACAAATGATACTAAAACATCGAAACATCAAAAGAACTGCTTATATATATAGAATAAAAATAAAACACTGGATTACGTTAACACTGCATAAACATATAAAATAACTAACACTGAAATTAACTGTCGTGAAACAACACTGAATTACCTAAATGTAACTAAGCAAGCACTGATGGATACATAAGAGACATAAATAGGTACTCACATAAATATACCACATTGGTGGCGACAGGAACAACACAGAAATAAAATAAAGTATAAGAAACAGGTGACGGGTGTCACTTAAAAGAACGTGAACTGAATGACAAGGAGGACTGGACTGAACTCCGTCTGCTGGTGGACCACTATATATAAGGTCGGCTCCTGCCAGTGGGACCAGCCGGTGAAACATGGGTCGTTTAACGATGCAGATGGTCGTTAGAGAAACAAAGAATGCTTGTTACAATACTAAATGAAGAAATAAGATGGGCTTGAACAAATAATAACAGTTAAAACCTTAACAGCACAGGGTAAGGTGACTAGATTATATAATAGTAAATATAACACATCATTACAGGAATAATATGGAACAACATGGAAGCATGTTATAAAAAATAATAATAGAAAAATACGACACGGTCGTAACAATATATATATATATATATTACCACTGGTTGGCTAAGTTTATATACAATTAAAACTACTTAATATACATACCACAATATAAGAGCATATTAATATCCATGGCTTTACAACACTATAAAGACATACTAATATGCTTGACTTTATACAACATAAAGGCACGTGGTTGTATATAACAGACTTTACATAAGATGATCTACAAGTAAAACATTAATTAGGCTATAGATCACTTTGGGTGTGTCCAGACAATATTATACTAATCACAAAAATAAGAATCTGTTCCAAAAATCTTTAAAACTATAAAGTGTGAAAATCAATACATTATATGAGTGCCTGTGAGAGGGTACATAAGGTGCCAATACCCAGTCTCGAGTAAAAACATTACATACTAGATAATTAATGAGTCAGGAACGAACAGTTAACACTGAGTAACGACGTGTCTTCCCCTGGTCGTATAACCCACACATTAACTTCTCTTAACTCTCAACATTCTATATAAGACAAATAACATTACGAAATAGATCAAACGTACAGTACCGTGTTATGATCACTGTGCTGGCAATATCCGCACCTAGAGGCCTCCAGTCACCACTTGTACAGCAAAAATAACGAGTTTATTGATCTGTAGGAAACGCAGAGTGGAAGATTTAACAGCAGTGAGGAGAGAGTCTCTACAGTAACACTCTACTACTACCATAAAGAGTATACTGTACAGGAGGGCGGCCCCTACGTTAGAGGAATATATATATGTGTGTGTGTATGTGTGTGTGTGTGTGTGTGTGGAAAAACCGCCATTCAAGTACACATTCATTCACAGTATAGCGCCGTTCATCATTCGCCCATGTTATTACAAATAGATTCGAGATGATGTCACCAGCGCAGCATCGTCGGAACAGAGGACAAACATCTCAATAGAAATAAATAGTTCATAGGGTGACAGCTGTTATATTTTAGTGTATTTTGTTCTACGTCTTTTATTGAGTAAGATAATAATTGTAGCAGTGGTTATTTGAAGTTATTATCAAGAGTAACCGCTACCGCTTGGTTTCTCAGAGCTCCTCCCACTACTGTGTGACGTCAATGACAAACTGTGCTATATATACACAAACCACTTCGACCTAGAATAATCAGCAAAGACATCATACAATTATTTCCAATTTGGTTAATAAATTCAATACAGTATCCTAATTTATGTACGTAAAGTGTAGGTTAAGTTGCCTTTTACTTTCAGGGCGACCCCCCACCACTGGGGTGGGGAGAGACTTATGTCACTTTATCCCTTTGAGATGTATTAATGTTTTTGTATCTCAATAAACGTATCAAGACACCCCCAGAGGCCTAGATGCTGCTATATCCTGATTTTTGTCATCAGCATCTGCAATTCAGCAAACAATGTACCAAAGTATTCGATTATGTGAGTTATATTATCTAACATTTATGGTAAAGACCCTCCTTTCATTGGCCCTTTTCCCTTCTTTATTATCACGATTCTTCCTCTCTTCGTCTTTACTTCATTCTACTTTTTAAATCAGCAATTCTTTCTCCTTCACGCAACACTTAATATGCTCATACCACAAACATCATAATGGTGACTCAGTTGTGTGAAGCACAGAAGCGTGGCTGCTAGTTATAAGGATGTGGACTCAAATTCTGGAACGGGGTGGTAATATCGACTAGATATACCTAGATTTTGCCAAGGCTTTCGACAGTGTGCCCCACGCAAGGCTGAGAATTAAACTGGAAGGGTCCGGGATTCGGGGAAGTGTCCTAGCGTGGATCGGCGACTTTCTTCATGACCGCAAACAGTGTGTGGTGATTAATGGCAGTATATTGGGCTCGTTGTTGTTTGTTTGTTTCATAAATAACATGCCAGAAGCTATACACTCTTCCATGTAAATGTTTGTGGATGATGCCAAATTATTCAGGGAAATTAAAAACCAAACAGACTGTGAAGAGCTGCAGAAAGATCTCTGTGAGCTTCAAGAATGGTCGAAGAAATGTTGCAAAAATTCAATGTCATTAAGTGCAAGAAGATGCACTTAGGTCGTACCAAAAGTAAGGAGGCGTATCACATGTCACAACAGGACAAAGAAACAGCATAAATAGAGACCGAATGCGTAAAGGACCTGGGTGTGTATGTTAACAATGAACTGAAGTTCTCGGGCCATTGTGAGAAGGTGAATCAAGTAACTAAACTATTTGGTCTTATAAGAAGGTCGTTCAGATATCTAGACGGTAACGATCTTCAAGAGTGAGGTACTTCCCTGCCAGGTCCACGAGATAAGCTAGAGACTGTCTGGTGGCCCTCCTTTGGACAATTAATGACCAAAGGAGGGCCACCAGACTCATGCCTGCACTACGGCACCTCAGTTACCCAGAGAGATTAGAACCCCTGCAGCTACCTAGCTTGTAGACTGGCAAGGGAACACCCAGTGGAAGTTTATAAACATCTCAAAGGGCACTACTCAGTCGAGTGTCCGTCCATGCCTGAAGCTGGCCACAATTCAAGGTTGAAGAGGTCACAAGTCTAGAAAATTGTGAGGGCAAACTTTTTCGGAGCGAGAATTGTCAGCTCGTGGACCAATGTGCCAGAGTGTTGTGACGGCACCGAGTGTGAGCTCTTTCATAACCAGATTTGACCAACACTGGAGCAGGTTCAGATACATTCAGGAGCCAGTGCATGCCCAGTACTTGCCCATAGTGCGTAACAGAGACAAGCGGCTAACGAACCGATCAGTGGCGAAGAGGATAAAGGTAAAAGAAGCTCACTGAACACAAGTGGAGAGTGACTTGAAAAATACAGGCTCGCCGTCAGACGGTGTAGAGCAATTTAGAACGATCGGGTATTTGTAGAGCAGCTTCAGGACGGTGTAGAGCAATGTAGAACAATCTGGTACCTGTAGAGCAGCTTCAGGACGGTGTAGAGCAATGTAGAACAATCTGGTACCTGTAGAGCAGCTTCAGGATGGTGTAGAGCAATGTAGAACAATCTGGTAGTTGTAGAGCAGCTTCAGGACGGTGTAGAGCAATGTAGAACAATCTGGTACCTGTAGAGCAGCTTCAGGACGGTGTAGAGCAATGTAGAACGATCTGGTACCTGTAGAGCAGCTTCAGGACAGTCAGGATGATTGTAGAGCAGCTTCAGGACGGTGTAAAGCAATGTAGAACGATCTGGTACCTGTAGAGCAGCTTCAGGACAGTCAGGATGATGGTAGAGCAGCTTCAAGTGTTGAGGAATAGTGTGGAATGACACAGGGACGTCATCTGGAGAGTGATAGTTAAGGATAGTTTTACTCATAATTTGACCTGGATTAAAATTTACAAAGTCTTTGAAACAATACATCATAATTACTCAGGCACCAAGAAAGTCCCAGAAAATAAATGTAACCTTATCACCTCAAATAAAAAAAAAATGAGGAAACCTTATGGGTAGCCAAGTACGCCTCGCCCTTTGTTTCCGTTGCCCTTAAGGACGCTTATATAGGAAATTCCAAAATATTGCTCTTCTTACGAGACGATTATCGGTATCTAAGGCTCAAAATCATTTTTTTTACATGTTACTCCGACCAGAGCAGTTTAAACAACAAAGGATCTTTATGGAATATGCAACTGAGAACTTTGTCGGCTCTTCTTAGTTAAATTGCTTTCCTGTTTTTAGTCTGTCCATAATTTTGACAACACATCAATATTATTATTATTATTACTACTACTACTACTACTACTACTATTATTACTACTAGAAGCAAAGCCTAGTTATAACATACCATTAGGCTCCCGTTTAGAATGAAGATACGAAAGTTTTCTGGGAATAATAGTGAACCCGAAGATTCATCACCCAAACTTATTTCACCTGATGATTAAACACTCTAACACTACCTGGTGGGGTGGCATTATGTTAGGTTAGGTGATGATTCAATGCAGTTCTCTCTCTGACCCCGTGGTTCCGTTGCCGCTAAACTTTGACGTGAGGACGGTGTACTACAAATCTTTCTGACCACTTGGGTTCTGTACGTTGGAGGATGAACACAATGTACAGCAGTTTCGGTTCGGTTGTCAAGGATTCGTCCATTGTGTCATTCTATCAACGAGAAAGGGGGCAGTGGTTTTTTTTTGTGTGTGTGTGTGTACATGCCTACATTGGGAAGACGCAGCGGGTGAGAATTTACACCAAACACTCGCATCTGCCGCGTCTAAAAGTTTCTAATATGCGTTAAAAATTTTAGGTGGAAAGTTCTTGTCAACTTTTAATAGTGCAGTATATAGAAAAACTGAAACTCAAAACAACGTTAAGTTAATGCTGAGTTAAATTGAACTTAATAGAAGACAGTTACACGTAAAATGATTGAGAAAATGCTAGAAAAGAAAAAAGATAAATCAGCTATGAGGTTTGGACAGTAATCATGACTTGGGGTATTGACACAAACTGGTGCTTCTTTACCGAGATAAAGAAGCTAATTACTGCAGTTGGAATGTGATTATTATGATTGTAGATTAACTTGAGTGCACAGGCGGGTGGTGCTGTACACAACCTACTGTAATTTCCCACTAGTGCGGTTCAACACAAGTTTCACCACTTATTACCGTACAACACAACACTTACTAATTATAAAGTTGTTCGCTCAAAGGATCGACGAACACGAGGAATGTTCTGGCTGATTTGCCAGTCTGGATGGTCTGGGTCCCTGAAGGCTTCACTTGTGGGTCGTAGGTCCTCCTCCGAGCGGAAGAGGCGAGACTCTATAAGGTTAGGACGAAGGTTAACTCTGGGCAGCATCACTGGACTCCCTAGTCTCCCTTGAACGCCGGCCGTACTCCCTTGTCTCCCTTGGACGCCGACTGGACTCCCTAGTCTCCCTTGGACGCCGACTGGACTCCCTAGTCTCCCTTGGACGCCGACTGGACTCTCTAGTCTCCCTTGGACGCCGGCCGGACTCCCTAGTCCCCCGTAAACGCCGACTGGACTCTCTTGTCTGTCGCCGCGGACGCCATGTGTTGGAGTTTCTCGGCGCCCATCATCGCCTGCCTGCAGCACCTCGGGGTTCCTGGTGAGGGTCCAGTAAGCATCGTTGTAGTTCCCGCTCTGCCAATGGGAAGTAACAGGGAATCATCTGTTTAATGGTGTTCTTCATCACCACAAACAACATCATAACTTACTAAGACATATTACCATGCACCAGAGTATAGCTTCACCAGTAACATAATTATGCACCAGAGTATAGCTTCACCATTAACATAATTATGCACCAGAGTATAGCTTCACCAGTAACATAATCATGCACCAGAGTATAGCTTCACCAGTAACAATCATGCACCAGAGTATAGCTTCACCAGTAACATAATTATGCATCAGAGTATAGCTTCACCAGTAACATAATTATGCACCAGAGTATAGCTTCACCAGTAACATAATTATGCACCAGGGTATAGCTTCACCAGCAGTCATTAAACATTGCCACATTATCAACACTGCGTCTACAACTTAAATGAAAGAGCTTAATACAAATATATGCTAAACTAATTTTTCATTTATTTTCCCTTAAATAATAAACACTTTTTTCGTTTCTCACATTAAGAAACAGGTTTTATAACTCTACTACTCCGATAACTAACAGAGAAAAGTTATTTCATGAGATTAATCTTTCGTCTCTTCGCTCTCGATTGTGTGAATCCCTCAGCATAGCCCAAAGAAAAGCTCTCGGTCAGTTCTCGCTCCTTTACGACAGCCCGTTACTGACTCTTATCACGTCCATCAGAGTTTCATGCAAGGTGACGTGTGAGAAGGTGTTTGACTCATCTTACTCATCCATGCTATGAGTCACCTGTGTTTGATTCATCTTACTCATCCATGCTATGAGTCACCTGTGTTTGATTCATCTTACTCATCCACGCTATGACTCACCTGTGTTTGACTCATCATTGATATAACATTTTGTCTTTGTTACAGAAATTCTCGTTATTGTTAATGTTTTTGTTATTGTTATCGTTAACTTATATGATAATTTCATTGTTAATTTTAATGTTTACATCATAACCAACATTCATGTTAATGGTCTGTAACTTGACTGAGGTGCTGAAGACTTTATGGAAGGGTACGGAATTCGGGGAAATGTCCTAGCGTGGATAGAAGACTTTCTACATGACCGCAAGCAATGTGTGGTGATTAATGGCACGAAATCGTCATCTGTACCTGTAACAAGTGGGGTACCGCAGGGTAGTGTATTGGGCCCGCTGTTGTTTGTTTGTTTCATAAATGATATGCCTGACGTTGTACACTCCTCCATACAAATGTTTGCCGATGACGCCAAGTTATTTCGGGAAATTAAGAACCAAGCGGACTGTGAAGAGCTGCAGAAGGACCTCTGTGGGCTCCAGGAATGGTCGAAGGAATGGCTGCTGAGATTCAATGTCACGAAGTGTAAGAGGATGCACCTGGGGCGTACCAACGGTAAGGAGGCGTACCATATGTCCCAACGGGATGAAGAAAATGTACTAGTTGAGACTGTGTGTGAGAAGGACCTAGGTGTGTATGTTGACAATGAGCTGAAGTTCTCGGGCCATTGTGAGAAGAAGGTAAATCAGGCAAATAAATTATTGGGTCTTATAAGAAGGTCGTTCAGATATCTAGACGGTCCGTCCCTCGTGACGATCTTCAGGAGTGAAGTGCTTCCCCATCTGGAGTACTGTCACCCCATCTGGTCCCCGAGATATGCTAGGAACTGTCAGTTGGTTGAAAATGTTCAAAGGAGGGCCACCAAGCTGGTGCCTGCACTTCGGCATCTCAGCTACCCTGCGAGATTGGAGCGCCTGAACTTGCCTAGCTTATACTACAGACAGGCAAGGGGGGACCTAGTTGAGGTTTATAAGCATCTCAGGGGGCACTACTCAGTTGAGTGTCCTTACTTGGAGCTGGCGGACGCTCGCCCCACAAGGGGTCACAGCTCAAGATTGAAGAAGCCGCAAGTCCAGGAAAACCGTGAGGGCAAACTTTTTCGGAGTGAGGGTTGTAAACTCTTGGAACAATCTACCAGAAAGTGTTGTGACGGCACCGAGTGTGAGCTCTTTCAAGAGAAGACTTGACCAACACTGGAGCGGGTTCAGGTACATTCAGGAGCCGGTGCATGCCCAGTATTTGCCAACAGTGCGTGACAGAGACGTGACCGATCGCCCGGGCGGCTAGCGAGCCGACCTTTTGGTGAAGAATATAAAGGAAAAGAGTCGTGACCGATCGCCCAAGCGGCTAACAAGCCGATCAGTGGCGAAGAGGATAAAAGTATTATTATTATTATTATTATTATTATTATTATTATTATTATTATTATTTTTATTACAAAGGGACTGATCGATGTCATGTTGAGTATTGCATTGGAAACTAATTTATATATACACACACACACACACACACACACACACACACACATGTAAACAGAGCTACAGACAGAGACAACTTACCGTGTAAAATTCAGCGTCACTCCTGGTATCGGAGGAGAGAGTCTCACAAGCTGTTTGTCTGAAAACAGGAAGGAAGGTTTATTATTTGTTTGTATATTCTGAGTAATAACGACCTTCATAATGTACTATTAAAAGCATCTGTTGTTAATTACCTCATTTTTATTGTTAACGATTTAATACTGGGATCACCTGGAGATAGGGCCTCTCTCTCTCTCTCTCTCTCTCTCTCTCTCTCTCTCTCTCTCTCTCTCTCTCTCTCTCTCTCTCTCTCTCTCTCTCTAGGGTTGTTTCACCTGATGATTAAAACCCTTAATAGTGCCTAGAATGTTAGGTTAAGTTAAGTTAGGTTACTGTTAAGGTTAGGTTAAGTTTAGGTTACTGTTAAGGTTAGGTTAGGTTAGGTGAGGTGAGCTGGGGGAAGGGGGGCAGGGCTAAGCTCCAGATGATACTGAAGAAACACCTATTATCTACAGTCAGGAAAATAACATAAACTACCAGATTATGCAAAGATGAGAACTGAACAAAAGGATCAAGACCAGCTTGTCTTAGATTAACGGGTGAATGATATCTGAGCAGGGAAAAAGTATATTGTATCCCCGTAAATCGTGTGGCTTGGAGGTGATAACGTGAGGTAAGTTGTGGGGTGAAGCAACCAAAAGCACAACGAGTCTTTGACCTTTATAAGTTGAGGTGTTGGAGGATCACTGAGTTGGTACTGTTGGCATCTGAAGGACTAGGTGGCGTTTATGGCGGAGGATGTTGTAGAATTTCATTTGAGGGAACAGTGAGCATCTGGCGACAGAGCTGGTCATATAATGTTTTGTTTTGTAGAGAAAGAGGGAGTGAAAGAAGACTAGAGGAAGAAGGGGACTGATAATTATTGGGAAATTGAAGAAGTTTAGTTGGCGGGCTGATCGCCTTGCCACTGACTAAGCTGATAGTGTAGTGATGTTATGCATTGGGCCAGTTCTTGTGGGTGATTTATATGACCTACCCTAGTCAATACACAGGTGTTCTGGGGGCCATACTTAATATGGCAGCAGAAAACTACAGGTCCATCAGCCTAACATCCCATATATACTAACTCTGAGGGACGCCATCACCCAACAGCTGACCAAACAGTCTTATCAATGTATCACAACAAGGTTTCATGGAAATAAAATTCATATTTGACAAGCTTAATCACATTCTATGAAATGGTAACAATGCGTGGACCAAGGCTCACTAATGGATGTGTTGTACAGGATTTCTCCAAGGCGTTTGAGAAAGTCACACATGCATGACTAGCTTCTAAGATCCAGGCACATGGCATCACAGGCAAGACTGTGATGTGAATTAACAACTAACTCAAAGACGCAACAGAGTGTGGTAATAAATGGAGTACATTCTGAATGGAAAAAGATTCTCAGTGGAGTACCACAAGGCTCTATTCTTGGACCCATCCTGTTTGTGATCTACATAAACGACATAGATGAAAATATATCAAGTCACAATGTGAAGGTTAAGGACGACATGTTGTCTTGGTCGTCATATATTTTATTGCCTGCATGGTCAGCTATACTGTGTATGGTGACACGGTGAGGCTGGTTATCTTCCAGTCACTTGACCTGGCTCTAGATCTCCCCTGGGTCACTATATGTTTGTAAGAGTTGTTCTACAGTTTCGTGGTGGCTTGATAAGAGTGTTAAAGACAGCGTATGATAGGTAGATCCTGAGTGGCGGGAGGTAAGTTGTTGCTGTTGTGATTGATCCGGTGAAAGTTTCTGAGTTTAATATCTGGGTCAACTTGGTTGTACTGGCTGGACAAACAGAATTTATTGGTTCTCCAGTGGAGAATGTTATCTTGTGTTACATTCAGTGTCTTACGCATTGGTTTATGTTTGGTTTTCCCGTCGCTCGTTTAGTTGTACTTTGGGTGACAAAACCCTTCCTCAGCCCTCTCTCTCTCTTTCCTTCTCTGGCCCCCATCCTCTTGGTCCCATCCCTCATCATGCTCACTACACAGTGCGCCATCTGTTGGACGATTACAGCACTTCCCTCAGTTGCTTCGTTATTCAAACCTCAGGTGATTCAGTCACATTGTGGCTGGCTGAGGGAAGGAACTTTTGTCCACCATAGTACATCCATTTCTTATCTTGCTGGGCGTCTCGCGAGTTGTCAGGTGGGTGTAGTCGTCGCGAGCACATTTTTTTTTATTGCTCGGTAGACGATTGACTAAGGGACGTGGTTGTCGTTGTGTCCAATTTATCTTGTCTTCGGCAAAACACCGTAGACACGTAGGTATATTTCTTCACCTGACACGTTTCTTTGGATCAGGGAACAGGTGTTGCCTCTGGTGTGTGTATGTCAGTACCTGTGTGCTTAACTTCCATTTCATCCGCTGGTTCGGTTTCGGTCAGGGGTTGGTTAGTGTAGTTATCTGATTCTCAGGTCTCAGGTTGTTGTTGTTGGTGAGTGGAGGAGGGGGGGTTGATGGCTGCTGGTAATTCCATCTCTTGTTTCGATTACCTTCTGCCACTTAACATTGTGTTTGAATGCTATTTCTGTCAGCTTCCGCTTTGCATCCCCCATCCACCGCCCTTCGGTTTATGACTTTTATTTTCGCTCTGACATTCTTAGTCACATATTTTTGGGTGGGACGCAATAGATCGGCGACTTTTATAGGTGTAGCCTACAGGACGGTGCCAGGTCCTAAGTTCCCTATGCCAGCAAGAAAGAGAGAGGAACGGAAAGTACATTTGCCTCTCTGTTTTGGTTGAAGGTTTTACGGATCACAAGGACAGTTCACCCCCAAAGACAGAGGTGTGGTATGGGGAAAGGAAGAGGTTAGGTTGGGTTAGGTTAGGTTAGGTTAGGTTAGGTTAGGTTAGGTTAGGTTGGGAATGGCGCACGAGTGTGTGAAGACATCTGTTGACCTTGACGAGAGGGATTTTATTTCTATCTACAAAAGACTCAGAGTATTGTTTTGAATCTCTAGAGCCAGTGTCAACATCACCACTACCTGCATACAATTACTAATTCCAAGAAGACTAGAATGTTATCTCCTCTGTGTTATCACTGGTGTATCATGAAGGTTAATTCCAACATGAACCAACTTTTTGATAACATTTCATGACCAGTTATGTGTAATGAAAATCTACAGAAGCGCTTAAAATCGTGTCTCAACTTATGTATACAAGATGGTAGAGTCACTATGTACTGTAGTTCATTATTATACTCAATAGTCGGGTAAATAAGATAATTAAACAAATATCAGTAATATTAAATCAATAAAATGAAGTTAATAAGAGTGTACCTGTCATTTACTGGTCCAAACTGCTAAAAGTTCCTCATATATTGTACACCAATTTGTTTAAGATGACGTGAGAAGACTAGTCCAAATAAAGGGAGACTTACCGTAACTGCATGTATTACCCAGAGTCAGGCATCTACCATCACCTTATACTTGGTGTGTACAGTACAGTATTTACCTTCTTCTGTAGATGAAAGTGGCGACCAGTAGTGCTATGATGATCACGGCGCTCACCACTATCCCGATCACCACTGAGGAACAAAGAATATAAGAGGATGGTAGGCTAAATGAGGCCGATTGTCCTTGCAGGGAACTTATAATGAATTTATGTTTTGAAAAACTTCTGAACAAACCTAACATAATCTAATCCATTTTAGGCATTATATTGCTATCTTATAATAAGATAGGAAGTTATCTATTGAAAGAAGGGATGGCAAAATTTTATCTTATCGTAGAAAGTCGCCCAGAGGTAAACATCATCCACTCATCCCACCAGTCTTCAATGTTGCGCCCCCTTTCCCCCAATGTGTGTGTATACAGTATATACAATATATATATAAAGAGAGAGAGAGAGTGAGTGTAGTGAACCACCGGCGAGCCAGGGAGACGTGATCACGGCCATGACCTTAAAGCCGAGTCATTGGGTGTTGTTGTGTGATATGATAAGGTTGAGGGAAACAGGTACAATACATGTACGTTTGGAGCTCACATAATGTCTAAAATAGTCATAACACACTGAGACACAGACTGATACTGAAGGTGTTAGCCAATGATTAAACCTTGCCAGGCCGGGGCACAGTATATCTTGGGGCTGGTCTCACGGTCACCCCCGGAGCTTGGCTACAGTGAGTGAACAGTCTACCAACAGGGCCGTATTAAGCTACAGGGCCGGGGCACAGTATATCTTGGGGGCCGGTCTCACGGTCACCAGCTTGGCTACAGTGGTGAACAGTCTACCAACAGGGCCGTATTAAGCCTTGCCAGGGCCGGGGCACAGTATATCTTGGGGGCCGGTCTCACGGTCACCCCGGAGCTTGGCTACAGTGGTGAACAGTCTACCAACAGGGCCGTATTAAGCCTTGCCAGGGCCGGGGCACAGTATATCTTGGGGGCTGGTCTCACGGTCACCCCCGGAGCTTGGCTACAGTGAGTGAACAGTCTACCAACAGGGCCGTATTAAGCCTTGCCAGGGCCGGGGCACAGTATATCTTGGGGGCCGGTCTCACGGTCACCCCCGGAGCTTGGCTACAGTGGTGAACAGTCTACCAACAGGGCCTGTATTAAGCCTTGCCAGGGCCGGGCACAGTATATCTTGGGGGCGGTCTCACGGTCACCCTGGGCTGGCTACAGTGAGTGAACAGTCTACCAACAGGGCCGTATTAAGCCTTGCCAGGGCCGGGCACAGTATATCTTGGGGCCGGTCTCACGGTCACCCCGGAGCTTGGCTACAGTGAGTGAACAGTCTACCAGGGCCGTATTAAGCCTTGCCAGGGCCGGGGCACAGTATATCTTGGGGGCCGGTCGGTCCCAGACAGCTGCAGTGGTGAACGATACCAACAGGGCCGTATAAGCCTTGCCAGGGCCGGGGCACAGATATATCTTGGGGGCCGGTCTCACGTCACCCCGGGCTTGGCTACAGTGAGTGAACAGTCTACCAACAGGGCCGTATTAAGCCGCCAGGGCGGGCACAGTATATCTTGGGGGCCGGTCTCACGGTCACCCCTGGAGCTTGGCTACAGTGAGGTGAACAGTCTACCAACAGGGCCGTATTAAGCCTTGCCAGGGCCGGGGCACAGTATATGTGGGGCTGGTCTCACGGTCACCCTGGGCTTGGCTACAGTGAGTGAACAGTCTACCAACAGGGCGTATTAAGCCTTGCCAGGGCCAGGGGCTGAGTATATCTTGGGGGCTGGTCTCACGGTCACCCCGGAGCTTGGCTACAGTGAGTGAACAGTCTACCAACAGGGCGTATTAAGCCTTGCAGGGCCAGGGGCACAGTATATCTTGGGGCGGTCTCACGGTCACCCCAGGGCTTGGCTGTGAGTGAACAGTCTACCAACAGGGCCGTATTAAGCCTTGCAGGGCCGGGGCCAGTATATCTTGGGGGCCGGTCTCACGGTCACCCCGGAGCTTGGCTACAGTGAGTGAACAGTCTACCAACAGGGCCGTATTAAGCCTTGCCAGGGCGGGGCACAGTATATCTTGGGGGCCGGTCTCACGGTCACCAGCTTGGCTACAGTGAGTGAACAGTCTACCAACAGGGCCGTATTAAGCCTTGCCAGGGCGCGGGCACAGTATATCTTGGGGGCCGGGTTCGTCACCCCGGAGCTCAGGTTGTCTGAGGTTGAGTAAAGAATCTCTTGTCTCCTGACTTATTTACAGTTGAAGGTTATATTAATAACTGTACACCGTCAGAACATGTACCGTCACAGCTGCCCACACACCCTCCACAGACATACACCGTCACAGACATACACCGTCACAGACATACACCGTCACAGACATACTGTACACCGTCACAGACGTACACCATCACAGACATGTACCGTCACAGCTGCCTCACACACCCTCACAGACATACACCGTCACAGACATACTGTACACCGTCACAGACGTACACCGTCACAGACATGTACCGTCACAGCTGCCTCACACACTCACAGACATACACCGTCACAGACATACTGTACGTCACAGACATACTGTACACCGTCACAGACGTACACCGTCACAGACATGTACCGTCACAGCTGCCCACACACCCTCACAGACATACACCGTCACAGACATACTGTACACCGTCACAGACATGTACCATCACAGCTGCCCCACACACCCTCACAGACATACACCGTCACAGACATACTGTACCGTCACAGACATACTGTACACCGTCACAGACATACTGTACACCGTCACAGACATACTGTACATCGTCACAGACATACTGTACACCGTCACAGACATACTGTACATCGTCACAGACATACTGTACACCGTCACAGACATACTGTACACCGTCACAGACATACTGTACACCGTCACAGACATACTGTACACCGTCACAGACATACTGTACACCGTCACAGACATACTGTACACCGTCACAGACATACTGTACACCGTCACAGACATACTGTACACCGTCACAGACATACTGTACACCGTCACAGACATACTGTACATCGTCACAGACATACTGTACACCGTCACAGACATACTGTACACCGTCACAGACATACTGTACACCGTCACAGACATACTGTACACCGTCACAGACATACTGTACACCGTCACAGACATACTGTACACCGTCACAGACATACTGTACACCGTCACAGACATACTGTACACCGTTACAGACATACTGTACATCGTCACAGACATACTGTACACCGTCACAGACATACTGTACACCGTCACAGACATACTGTACACCGTCACAGACATACTGAACACCGTCACTTACTTCTCAAGTCCAGGGAGCATTTTTCCTTGGTGAAGTACCAGTGAGAACACCTGTAAAGGATAATACGTGTGGTTACCTGTATAGTGATATTCTGACGTAATGTTTATTATTATTATTATTATTATTATTATTATTATTATTATTATTATTATTATTATTATCATCTTATTTATATTATTATTATTAGTAGTAATATTGAATAGCCTCGACTTAACCCCAGCAGAAAGGTCACTCACTCCTTGCACTCCCACCGAGACAAGTAAAGTAAACACCAACGAACTAAAGGAAATTCGACGTTTCATTATGACAGAAAAGCAGTGCACGGCCAAAGTGATAAACTGCAACAACTGATGCAGTAATTGTCAGAGAACTTGACCCCAAAAAGTAGCCATAGCGCAGGAGGTGGGCGCCTCGGACTGGCCAACAACATTATCGATAAGGGCAAAAGGTTTCAGCCTTAATAAATAAGAATTTCCAGATGCCATTGTTGCTCTAAGTTAAGGTAATAAACGTACGGTAGGCCAGTAGAAGGTTTGCCCTCCCGATGCGTGTGTGGTTCATCTTATGACATTGACCACGCCATGGTGTGTAAGAAAGGGAGCTTCGTGTGCATGAGGCATAACGAAGTAAGGGATCTAACAGAAAATATACTGAAGGAAATCTTCCACGACGTCATGGTGGAACCGCCCCTCCTTCCATTGGACGGTGAGAACCTCTGTCGCAGGACTTCAAACACACCCAACAAGCCCATGTGGACGTAAGCACTTGAGGATTCTGGACGTGGGGACAGCGAGCGTTCTTTGACGTCAGGATATTCTACCCCCTGGCCGCCTGTTACCATAACTTGTCTCTTGAGGCTGTACACATGAGGAACGAGAACGACAAGATCAGGGCATTTGGGGAGAGAATTCTCAATGTGGATGAGGGCAGCTTCACTCCTCTGGTGTTCACAACCTCTGGTGTTCACAACCTCATGGTATCGAGGGGAAAGTTTTAAATTGGATAAAATCATGGCTCACCGATAGAACGCAGAGGGTCAGCGTAGATGGTGTTAAATCTGAGTGGGGCCGTGTAACCAGTGGGGTTCCCCAGGGGTCAGTACTAGGCCCACTCTTGTTCATAATCTACATAAACGATCTAGATACTGGGATCAGCAGTGACATAAGCAAGTTTGCGGATGACACCAAAATAGGCGGCAAATTAATTCAGGGCAGGATGCAAATGCATTACAGGAGGATCTAAATAAACTGCAGGGGTGGTCTGAAAAATGGCAAATGAAATTCAACATCAGCAAGTGCAGCGTACTTAATATTGGAAGAACAAATACTTATAATGTATACAGCCTTAACAACATCAACCTAGAGAAGTCGACTTGTGAAAGAGACCTAGGGGTACTTGTAAGCCAGGACCTACGGCCTAGAAAACAGTGCGTTAATGTTCGAAAAAAGGCAAACAGAGTATTGAGTTTTATATCTAGAAGTGTAAGTAACAAGAGTGCAGAGGTCTTATTGCAACTATATCTTGCGCTAGTCAGGCCGCACCTCGATTATGCGGTTCAATTCTGGTGCCCCTATTATAGAATGGATATAAATTAACTAGAGTCGGTGCAGCGAAGAATGACAAAAATGATTCCGGGACTTAGAAACCTTCCATATCAGGATAGGTTAAAGAAACTTAACTTGCATTCCCTAGAAAGACGAAGAGTGCGGGGAGATATGATAGAAGTATTTAAATTGGGTGAAAGGAATCAATAAAGGGATATAGATAAAGTTCTTATAATATCCGAGCAGGATAGGACTCGGAGCAACGGATTCAAGTTGGATAAGTTTAGGTTTAGGAGGGAGATAGGAAGAAACTGGTTCACAAATAGGGTGGTGGACGAGTGGAACAAGCTTAGCAACTTCGTAGTAAGTGCGGGAACTCTGGAAAGTTTCAAAAGGAGGCTAGATAGATTCATGGATGATAGAGAGTGGTAGTAACTCTCGACAGGAGCTGCCATGCACAGGCCAACCGGCCTATTGCAGACTCCTTAATTTCTTATGTTCTTATGTTTACAAGGGGTCCGCTAATCTGTTCCCTACACTATTTCAAGACTCAAAGGAAAATTTCATCCGGCCGTGGGGATTTTGTTTTCTTTAGTTTATTTATCTTCTTAAGAACATCCTCTTTTCTGATAGTGATATTTTTTAATTTCTCTTCTTCCTTTCCCTTAAATATCAGTTCCACCTCTGGAATTTCATCACAAATTTCTTCTGTGAAAACTGATAAGAAGTAGCTGTTCAATGCTTTGCTTATTTCTTCACTGCCATATATCACTTCTCCCCTCCCTGACTTTAAAGGCCCAACTTTGTCCTTGACCTTTGTCCTATATACCTGGAAAAATCCCTTGGGATTCGCCTTGGATTCTCTTGCTATTTTGATTTCATAGTCTCTCTTTGCTTTCCTTACATTTTTCTTAACATTCCTAGATAGTTCATTATACCTATTTCTGAGCTCCTCCCCTCCCTTTAATTTCTTATATATTCCTTTCTTTATTCCTATGTCATGTTTAAGTTTTCTGGTCATCCACCTTGGCTCATTCTTATTTGACCTAATTTTCTGTATGGTATATTTTGTTCTTGTGCTTTATGTAGTATACTAGTGAATATATTATAGTCATGATCAATTGTTGTGTCATCCATGACCTCACCCCTTCCTACTGGGGACTGACGTGACTGTTCCCAGGTGACCTCACCTAGGTACCTTCTTAACCCCTGATAATCCGCCAACCGAAAGTTTGGGACTCTGACCATATTGTCATTGTTTTTCGTTTTCCCAATTTAGGGTGAACCTGATTTCTCTGTGATCACTGTTACCTAGTTCTTCCCCTACTGTGATATCTCTGATAATATTTTCTTTATTTGTTAATACTAGGTCTAATATATTGTCACCTCTGGTAGGTTCTGTAATTAGTTGTTTCAAAAAATTGTCCTGTACTGCGTCTAGGAAGTCTTCAGATTCATAGTCACCCACAATGTTGTCCCAGTCAATATTTCTGAAGTTGAAATCCCCCATAATGCACAGGTTGTTATATTTTGCTGCCCTACTCATTTCCTGCCATATGGGCTGAGCTGCTTCTTTCCCAAGACTTGGGGGCCTGTAAATCACTCCCATAATTAGTTTTTCTCTTCCTTCCGTGATTTCTACCCACCCTTACCAGCGTCAAACTTTTGAAAGACCAGTAGGATCACCTGAAGACTTACCCACCTCACACTAACCTAACCTAACCTAACCTTATTCCTACAAATAGTGTGTAAGCTTGGGTGGAGATTCTTCAGTTCATCCAATAAGTAAACTTCCTCGACCCTCTCCACACGCCGCGCTTACGGGTGAGTATAAAGAGACAATATCACCCGGATGTACAGTTGGAAACGTCCAAGTCGTCAATAGAATATAAAATATGGAAGGTTTTAACTGTTGTCGGGCGGCCAGCGTGTCGTTATCTTGCCGGTTTACCGAGAACACTAGAGACTGACTGATATGTGTTGCATTTGATAACAGGAAAAAAGGTTTGATAATGAAACTGTTACCAAGAACCTAAATACCTACAAAAAAACATAATAACTACAATGTTTCTTCTCGTCTTAGACCACATTAGGTACAGAGGTGTCTCAAAAATTTTACACACACCGTATTACTGATTCTCTTGTAGATCGTCGTGAGAAAGTTTATGGCAGTGTCTATACATTTTTTTTGAGACACCCTGTATTTGTCTTGTAGGGCGGGAGAGAAGGACACTGCGCTACATTACTGCACTTCTACAGAGAAACTTGTAGAAATAGTCTCGTAGGTAGAATGTGATTAGAAGTTAACAAACCTTACCTAGGTCTTTGTACACACACGTAACTTGAATTTTATAGTTTAGAGTACATGTCTTGCCTGATTACCTAGAGTACGACGTTTTAACGCCTTTGGGTTCGACAACTAATCCCCTTGAGTACGACGTTTTGATTAACCCAGCTGAGTACGACGTGTTAACCTTCTGAGCACAAGATCATACAAAAAGGAATCTCATCGTCTTTGAAGGGTTCACATATCGCACTAAAGGGGTTAAGCCGTGGCACTCAAAGTATTAGAGCGTCGTATTAAAGGGGTTAAGTCGTGGTGCTCTATTTGTAACACTTCAGGACCTCCTTGTGTACTGTCAGCCCCACCAGTAGACCATCAGCCCCACCAGTAGACCAACAGCCCCACCAGTAGACCATCAGTCCCACCAGTAGACCATCAGCCCCACCAGTAGACCATCAGCCCCACCAGTAGACCATCAGTCCCACCAGTAGACCATCAGCCCCACCAGTAGACCATCAGCCCCACCAGTAGACCATCAGCCCCACCAGTAGACCATCAGTCCCACCAGTAGACCATCAGCCCCACCAGTAGACCAATAGCCCCACCAGTAGACCATCAGTCCCACCAGTAGACCATCAACCCCACGAGCAGATAGTTAACTCCGTCAGTAGACCGCCACCTTCGCCAATAGAAAAAGAGAAAATGCTTACTTGCAGAAAGGGTCGTAGAAGGGCGACTCCTGAGCACACTGACCGCCGTTAGCACAGTAGTTGGAGGCGCACGGTGCTGTGGATAGAGTGGAATGGCTCTTAGTATATTTATACCTCAGTAAAGTACATCCTTAATATACCCAAGACTTGTATATAGATGTAGTACCATTATATATATACTGTACCTATGAATTAAATTAAGCTAAAAGTACAGTTTGTTTGCAATGTTGTGATAAAGATGAACAAGGCTGCACATATCGCCACAGTTGAAGGAAGGGAGTGCAGTATGTTACGTCCACACTCTCAAATACACACATTTTCAAAGACCGGGAATAATCAAAGTGTTTTATCAGAATCACAGACACGAAAAAGAAAGTGCGGGAAATATTATTCTAAAATTTTACAACACATGTATTGTAAGGTAGACGACGAGTGTATAGACGAAGGGATATTTACGTATTTATCATTAAATCCTTTTAGTGTATTAACTTTCATAATTTTGAGGGAAAGATTATTCGTTTAACAATAATAATAATAGTTTGAATATTCCTGTAATTATAATTGATAATAGCTTTTTATACCAGCGAAATTTGTTGTGTACAACTTATCAGTTATCTATTTCATCAAGCATCAAAATTTACCAACACTTCACAGACTCAGTTAATGACACATATATGTTAACACTGTACAACTGCCTAATAGTGTTATACAAAAGGTGAATAATTACAGTTCCACTAAATGAAGGAAAGCGATTCACGGGGGAAATGCACCATACTTTTTGTGTAACGATAAACTACAAAATTCTAAACGTGTCATATTACCCGCCCAGCATACCAGAATGATAGAAAATAATACGGCTACAGGCAGGAGCAGACTGGGCTCTAAATATTTACCGGTAAATGCACTGAATAGAGTGCATATAACACAAAGAACACAAATATAACACAAAGAACACAAATATAACACAAAGAACACAAATATAACACAAAGAACACAAATATAACACAAAGAACACAAATATAACACAAAGAACACAAATATAACACAAAGAACACAAATATAACACAAACAACACAAATAGAACACAAAGAACACAAATAGAACACAAAGAACACAAATATAACACAAAGAACACAAATATAACACAGAGAACACAAATAGAACACAAGCAACACAAATAGAACACAAAGAACACAAATATAACACAAAGAACACAAATATAACACAAGCAACACAAATATAACACAAAGAACACAAATAGAACACAAAGAACACAAATATAACACAAACAACACTTACTGATGCAGATCTCGCCCGGGAAGGAAACGTTGTTAGGGGAGAAGTCTTTGTACCCTGGGTTACATTGGCAGTATCCTTTTACCTTGAGGATGGGGTCCGTCTTGTTGACGCAGGTGGCGAGCGGGTTACTACAAACCACTACACCACACGGCTTACTCTTCACGTCTGCCAATGGAAAAAAATAAACATTGGAAAAAAAATGGTGCTTGGTGAAATCATAATCAAACATCTACCTCCAGGATTAAGACACGCTAAGACCTCGCCATTATGAAGCTGGGCTGTAATATTTAGAATTTTCGATGAATTTAATTCCGTGCCTGTCTACCTGTACTGTCTGTGAACAAGCTGCTGCATTATACCTGGTACAGTTGCTGGCGTGTTTTCCGAGACGTGGTACCTACAGTTTGTGTGTTTGTATGCATAGCAGTACCAAATATATGGCTGAATGGCTTGAGGTAACGATGTTAAGTATGTAATTCTCCTCGATCTATGAATGATGATATTTCCGGTTCGCTTACACTTCAAATTCTGATTGAACGATTTTGTCTGTTATCTGTTGGGGGGTGGTGTGACTTAGGGGGGGTGGTGTGTGACTTAGGGGGGGGTGGTGGGGGGGTGTCCTTCCACGGAAGTAAAGTTGTGAAGGTTGCCACACACAGGTAATCCTCCCTTTAATCCTACTTTGATATATCATGACGGCTCTAAGCTAAGTGTGAAGACAGCCCCCTCCCCCAAGCACAGCACCTCGCGCACCACACTCCTATGGTGCAAGTCTTCCTCATTATATTTATATGGATTAAGGGTGAGGGAGGCAACGTGAGCATTGATGTCTTCTTAATATTAGAAGAGGGAGCAAGATAATGTCACTGCCCCCTCCCCTTCTCCTTAACGTCATGCAGAAGTTTAGTACTGTCTGGGTGCAATAAGAAACGGTAAGCTTTATGAGTTTATTAATATCAGGATAATTGGTTTCTTTACAAAATCGAGATTAATTATAATAATCTGAACCCCTTACAGCAGCTGAGTGGTGGTGCTCTTACTGTAAGCTTTTATCCAGGTTAGGATAATGTTGGTTAATTTAGGTTTAATGTTGGTTAGGTTTGGTTTAGGTTAGGTTAAGGTTATGTTGGTTAGGTTAGGTTAATGTTGGTTAAGTTAGGTTGAGGTTGGGTTATAAACATTGCGATATAATTGAAGGTTTATCGATGGATTTGGTGTAATATTATAATGTGAACTGGTTAGAGTGTTCATTCATATTGACATAACAGGGATCATCTGAAGATTAGTCACCCAAAGCTTATTTCATCTGATAGTTGATTACACCAACGTTAGCTGGGCGGGGTGCAGTTATATTGCGTTACAGTTAGGGCGGTTCATTTTGAGGTGACATAAGTTGGGGGCGCTAATCTTCAGGTCCTCAGATGAGTTTCATATATATATAATTTACGTCATTCTCCAATAACAAACATATTTACATACCATCCACTTCGATGCTGTCGGTATAAATATAAAGGTCGAGATCCTGACTGACGCTGGTGTTGACTACGACATAGACCAGGGCATCCTGCAGCTGCTTGTTGGTGGTGCTGTTGTAACTCTCGGTCCTCCTGAAGGTTACCTGACCTTGCACCACTAACCCCACTTCTTTCACCGTGGCGGCCTGGATGTCAGCTTCAGGTTGTGATCTGTATGATATATGATAATTGTCTTTGTGTTGTTATCATCACTTGGAGGAAACCCGTCATGTCACCCTATTGCTGGCGTTTGTCCGTGGTCTGTTAAGTAGCTCGTACCCTCCTGCACCTGTTGCTTTCACAAGTTCACATTAACCTCGTGTCACTCGGTAAGATCAGCCAAGGTCGCACAAATATGAAGATGATAAGTGTTTTGATTCCCAAAAAAAATTGTAGTTGCTGCCCTAATATTTTGTTCAGGAAAAATCTCTAAATGAAAACAAAATTCTAACCTGAAAGTTTGAAAATATCGGATAGAAACCATGACGTTTGACTCTACCAAGCACAAGAGATCTCCATAAATAATTCTCCAAAATATTACTTGAAAATCTCGGGACAATAACTAATAGTTTACGGACGTTACTCTTGTAAACTTGTGACTCTTGTGTTGTAAGAATTAGCCGTTGTTTTGCCCTCACGTTTGGTCAATCTCACACAAACACAAGATCCCGCCTGGCTGCTTTCACTTAGGTCAAATATGCGATTTATCCTCGAATCAGTAGAAGGGGGATGGTGTTAAACTTTTTTCACACCTACACAAAGTTTTTTGCCATGTAGGGAAATTCTAATTGAGTTGGCCACCAAATCACTTATTTTCAATGGGTCTTGCCAGTCGTCGAACTTAAGGGGACCCAGAGTACAGTGTTTCAAGTTAATAATTTCGCCCCTACAAGAGTTGTGCTCACATGAAGTACAGGCCACGGATACAGATGCCATATTGTGAATTGACAATCTTTGAACTTACTACCACGCCCATAGCCGCCAACTGGGTCGTAGTGCTCAAATATCAACTAAAATTCATCTCTGAATCCACACAAACCCACCCCGCATTAAGCCTTACCTACACGGCTTCCAAACAACTTCCCTTCTCTACTTCACTTAAATGCTAACTCCCCATTAAACTAATATAATTATGTGCTTTCGTCTGTTTCTCCAACACTGTTGTGTGTTTTGTAAGTTCACAATCAAAACCGACATGCCCGATGGTGAGCCCTACCATCGGGAACCCGAAGTTCGTGTAGGGAGAAGTCATTCAAGAACGTGTTTTGGGCTTTGTTTGATGGTTGGTGCACGACAATCCTCATATCTCCTAAGTAACTCACCTGGTCTTCCTTAACTGCAGTACAAGTAACGCTCCTAAAGAAAAAAATGTAAAGAGTGTACAAGACTATGTCCCACCCATCTTAGACTAACTTCCAAGATACCCACAGTGCACTGACTCTTTCTTACCGGTCATAATGACCTCACCCATGAGTGTTTGAGACAAAGCTGCTTCAACATCACCACTCGAGGTTCATCGGCCACGAGTTGCTGCTGTTCGGTACTGCAACCGCCACCACAACAGCCCTATTCTAACGACTTTGAAAATAATCAATGATTCGCAAATGTCTGGAAAGATTCACTCTAGTTTTTCTCTTTCGAATTCAATTTATCCTAAAAATATGTCTAATTAACCATATGTCTAATTGACCATTTATATGTTGTATATTTTTAGCTTGTGACTCTTTTATTTTCAATAACCAGTTTATTGTTAATCTCATTATTTCTTTACCATAATACATTTACGTGATGCTCTTTAGAAAGCTAATTTGAGAGCTTAAAGGTAATATATTGCTCAGTTTTGAACAACTGGAGCACTGACAAGGGCAGACACTAGCGATAATCAACAATATCATCAAAATGTTGGTCTAGTTATAAAATAGATCTTCCTACATGACAATTTTCATCACGTAACAATTAACACATCAGCAGACTTGGAGAAACACAACCAATTGACAGCAACAAACCTTTTAAGTCTTCTCTTGACGATGGTGGCGGACTGTCTGCTGGAGGTGAGGTTCCTCCCCCCAATGTCACGTGTATGTCGTCTCCGTCTGGAAGTGGGAATATTGTGCGGGGTGTTGCAAGCGTTGGTGTCGTCTATGCGGCTCACCACCATCTGGTCGAACCTCTGGAACTCGTCCATCATGCCGCTGTCATTGGCTGCCACGCGGTACTGGTCCATAGATGGTGATGGGGTATACAGTTAGCTTAATTAAACAAATTGCTTCCAGTTCCACAGAAAACGACGTCTATCATAATACGCGTTCATAATACATTCACACAAACGTTCATCTCTATATAAATACAAAGAAACCGTTTTTCAGTGTTGTGCATAACGAGTTTACTATGAGATGGAAAGTGACGTTTGTAAATAGCGACTGAAGGATAAAACTTAAGGACAAAGTAAAACAAAATTTCCAACAGCAGATGATCTACTGTATATGGCACCTAGTTCAGACTGAAGAGACTGGTCAACAGGATAATGGTACAAATGAGACAGATAGAGTTAGAGTTTATTCTGTAAATGTTGTTAAGAAATTGAAAACACATCATAAATAAATGATTATGGCAGACAACAGCATCCTTAAATACGTGGAAGTTGTAGTGTATTTGGTAAGTAAAGTATAATGTGACGGCAAATGTGAAAGAAAATGGAAATATATATAATTCAGGCAAAAATAACTTAATAACTGTGGAGATGTTTTAAAAATATGACATTTATTTTATTTTGGGACAACATCTGGTGACAGGCGATATGTGGTAAGTTCTTTGGTACAGTGAGGGTCAAAAGAGTGGACATTTCCGGCAGACTCCAAGAAGGGGTTAAAGATCTTCGATATGTGTTGCTATAGAAGAATGTTACCTGGTAGGAAATACTTGACTGATAGAATGTCAATAAAAGAAATATTTAAATTGGCAAGAGAGAGACGAAAGAAATAATGGAAATTCATAGACTAAAGAAAGATACTGTTTATAGAGTAGGTGGAGATATTAACCTCTTATGTACGGGTTCCTTACTTGCTTAAATAACATCATCTCACGTTAGCCAAATACATTATTAAAAGTGGCATCCACATAGTTAATGGGTAGAACAACCGTTAAAGTGGGGATAGGAGGGCCAAGGAAAGACACTGCTGGGATAAATGAATTACACAGTAAGTTGTAGTCCTCACATCTCGATAGAGGAGATGTCAAAATTTCAGAAAGTATATCGGTTCTTGTATGGTATTTATAAATGCAGTTTTCCTCCATAGTATTGTAATGAAAAGGACTTTGGTGTTTGTGAGCTCCTGTTATCGCCCCAGTAAAGCAGATTACGTAGTCATATTAATCACTTGTTTTCCCCTGCTGATCTGCCTCCGCCTCCACTACAGTCCTCATCATCTAGCATTTTATCAGTGACTAAAATATTCGCTGGGTCAACATGCTGGTGAGTATTATTATCATCATACTTCACCAAACAACCAGAAGATCAAGTTCCCATTAAAGTTCTTAGCAAAACAATTAACTTTACCAAAACATCTACATATCAATACGTTTCAGATTTTTCCCTCGGCTTTACGAAAACATGCTTGATTACCTACCACCTTCTGCATGTCACCCAGGAGTGTGATGTAAACGTCGGAGTCGTTTTTGCAGTAGTCATCGGTCCACGTCCTGTTCAATTTCAATGAACTCTGATGTTCCATCACCTCTGTACAGTAACACAACGGGTAACATCACTATATCAGATACACAAATTTACATCAGCATGGTCATAAGTCACAATAAATCAAGTTAGGAGAGATTAAGCTAAGTTGTACTAAGTTTGGCTAACAAAATAAAAATCGTTTGGTTATACATGTAGGTTAGTTAAGTTCAATTAAACTAGGTAAAAGATAACTAAAAAAGAAAAAAAAAATTATACTCTAATATTAACTCACCTTTGCAAGTTGAAATTGCCTGCTCAGACTTCTCATAGCCAATCAGACACAGGCACCGAGGCTGCTTCTTATCGTCCCTCCGGCAACGTTCGAAGTTATCCACGTCACATCCTGACAACTTGGGGTCAACATCCGGGTTATCGTCTATCAGGTGAAGGAAATCCTCATTACACCCGGATGGAGCTGATGTTGTCGTAATCGGAATGGGAGTCGTTGATGTAGACGGGTTAGTGGTCGTTGTTGTAGGCGGGTTAGTGGTCGTTGTTGTAGGCAGCTTAGTGGTCGTTGTTGTAGACGGGTTAGTGGTCGTTGATGTAGACGGGTTAGTGGTCGTTGTTGTAGACGGGTTAGTGGTCGTTGTTGTAGACGGGTTAGTGGTCGTTGTTGTAGACGGGTTAGTGGTCGTTGTGCTCATCACAGTATATGTGGAAGCAGATGTCAGGGGTGTTGACTCACTAGATGAGTAGGTAGATGATAGTGGTGTTGACTCAATGGATGTGTAGGTAGATGTGAGGGGTGTTGACTCAGAAGATGAGTAGGTAGATGATAGTGGTGTTGACTCACTGGACGTGGAGGTAGATGTGAGGGGTGTTGACTCAGAAGATGAGTAGGTAGATGTCAGGGGTGTTGACTCACTGGATGAGTAGGTAGATGTCAGGGGTGTTGACTCAGAAGATGAGTAGGTAGATGTCAGGGGTGTTGACTCACTGGATGTGTAGGTAGATGTGAGGGGTGTTGACTCAGAAGATGAGTAGGTAGATGATAGTGGTGTTGACTCACTGGACGTGGAGGTAGATGTGAGGGGTGTTGACTCAGAAGATGAGTAGGTAGATGATAGTGGTGTTGACTCAATGGATGTGTGAGTAGATGTGAGGGTGTTGACTCAGAAGATGAGTAAGGTAGATGTCAGAGTGTTGACTCACTGGATGAAGTAGGTGGATGTCAGAGTGTTGACTCAGAGATGGTGGGTAGATGTCAGGGGGTGTGTTGACTCAGAAGATTGGAAGTAGGTAGATGATAGTGGTGTTGACTCACTGGACGTGTATAGGTAGATGTCAGAGTGTTGACTCATGGATGAGTAGGTAGATGTCAGGGGTGTTGACTCACTAGATTGAGTAGGTGAATGATAGTGGTGTTGACTTCAATGGATGTGTGAGTAGATGTGATTTGACTCAGAAGATGAGTGAGTAGATGATGATGGTGTTGACTACTGGACGTGTAGAGTAGATGTGAGGGGTGTTGACTCAGAAGATGAGTAGGTAGATGTCAGGGGTGTTGACTCACTGGATGAGTAGGTAGATGTCAGGGGTGTTGACTCAGAAGATGAGTAGGTAGATGTCAGGGGTGTTGACTCACTAGATGAGTAGGTAGATGTCAGGGGTGTTGACTCAGAAGATGAGTAGGTAGATGTCAGGGGTGTTGACTCACTAGATGAGTAGGTAGATGTCAGGGGTGTTGACTCAGAAGATGAGTAGGTAGATGATAGTGGTGTTGACTCACTGGACGTGTAGGTAGATGTCAGGGGTGTTGACTCACTGGATGAGTAGGTAGATGTCAGGGGTGTTGACTCACTGGTTGAGTAGGTAGATGTCAGGGGTGTTGACTCAGAAGATGAGTAGGTAGATGATAGTGGTGTTGACTCACTGGATGAGTAGGTAGATGATAGTGGTGTTGACTCACTGGATGAGTAGGTAGATGTCAGGGGTGTTGACTCAGAAGATGAGTAGGTAGATGATAGTGGTGTTGACTCACTGGACGTGTAGGTAGATGTGAAGGGTGTTGACTCACTGGATGAGTAGGTAGATGTCAGGGGTGTTGACTCAGAAGATGAGTAGGTAGATGATAGTGGTGTTGACTCACTGGATGAGTAGGTAGATGATAGTGGTGTTGACTCACTGGATGAGTAGGTAGATGATAGTGGTGTTGACTCACTAGATGAGTAGGTAGATGTTAGGGGTGTTGACTCAGAAGATGAGCAGGTAGATGATAGTGGTGTTGACTACCAGATGAGTAGGCAGATGATAGTAAAACACTGGATGTGTAGGTAGATGTCTGGGGGTGCTGACCACCAGATGAGTATATCGATGATAGTGGGTGCTGGGACTACCAGATGAGTAGGTAGATGATAGTGGTGTTGACTCAGAAGATGAGTAGGTCGATGATAGTGGTGTTGACTCACTGGATGAGTAGGTAGATGATAGTGGTGTTGACTCACTAGATGAGTATGTAGATGTCAGGGGTGTTGACTCACTAGATGAGTAGGTAGATGATAATGGTGTTGACTCACTAGATGAGTATGTAGATGTCAGTGGTGTTGACTCACTAGATGAGTAGGTAGATGTCAGGGGTGTTGACTCACTAGATGAGTAGGTAGATGATAGTGGTGTTGACTCACTAGATGAGTAGGTAGATGTCAGGGGTGTTGACTCAGAAGATGAGTAGGTCGATGAAAGTGGTGTTGACTCACTGGATGAGTAGGTAGATGATAGTGGTGTTGACTCACTGGATGAGTAGGAAGATGTGAGGGGTGTTGACTCACTAGATGAGTATGTAGATGTCAGGGGTGTTGACTCACTAGATGAGTAGGTAGATGATAATGGTGTTGACTCACTAGATGAGTAGGTAGATGTCAGTGGCGTTGACTCACTAGATGAGTAGGTAGATGTCAGGGGTGTTGACTCACTAGATGAGTAGGTAGATGATAGTGGTGTTGACTCAGAAGATGAGTAGGTAGATGTCAGGAGTGTTGACTCACTAGATGAGTAGGTAGATGATAGTGGTGTTGACTCACTAGATGAGTAGGTAGATGTCAGGGGTGTAGACTCACTAGATGAGTAGGTAGATGTCAGGGGTGTTGACTCACTAGATGAGTAGGTAGATGATAGTGGTGTTGACTCAGTAGATGAGTAGGTAGATGTCAGGAGTGTTGACTCACTAGATGAGTAGGTAGATGTCAGTGGTGTTGACTCACTAGATGAGTAGGTAGATGTCAGGGGTGTTGACTCACTAGATGAGTAGGTAGATGATAGTGGTGATGACTCCTGTAGATGAGTAGGTAGATGTCAGGGGTGTTGACTCACTGGATGAGTAGGTAGATGATAGTGGTGTTGACTCAGTAGATGAGTAGGTAGATGTCAGGAGTGTTGACTCACTAGATGAGTAGGTAGATGATAGTGGTGTTGACTCACTAGATGAGTAGGTAGATGTCAGGGGTGTTGACTCAGTAGATGAGTCGGTAGATGTCAGGGGTGTTGACTCACTAGATGAGTCGGTAGATGTCAGGGGTGTTGACTCACTAGATGAGTAGGTAGATGATAGTGGTGTTGACTCACTAGATGAGTAGGTAGATGTCTGTGGTGTTGACTCACTGGATGTGTAGGTAGATATGAGGGGTGTTGACTCAGAAGATGAGTAGGTAGATGATAGTGGTGTTGACTCAGAAGATGAGTAGGTAGATGATAGTGGTGTTGACTCACTGGATGAGTAGGTAGATGTCAGGGGTGTTGACTCACTAGATGAGTAGGTAGATGATAGTGGTGTTGACTCACTGGATGAGTAGGTAGATGATAGTGGTGTTGACTCAGTAGATGAGTAGGTAGATGATAGTGGTGTTGACTCAGAAGATGAGTAGGTAGATGATAGTGGTGTTGACTCACTGGATGAGTAGGTAGATGTCAAGGGTGTTGACTCACTAGATGAGTAGGTAGATATGAGGGTGTTGACTCAGAAGATGAGTAGGTAGATGATAGTGGTGTTGACTCAGAAGATGAGTAGGTAGATGATAGGTGTTGACTACTGGATGAGTAGGTAGATGTCAGGGGTGTTGACTCACTCAGATGAGTAGGTAGATGATAGTGGTGTTGACTCACTGATGAGTAGGTAGATGATAGTGGTGTTGACTCAGCAGATGAGTAGGTAGATGATAGTGGTGTTGACTCAGAAGATGAGTAGGTAGATGATAGTGGTGTTGACTCACTGGATGAGTAGGTAGATGCTGAGGGTGTTGACTCACTAGATGAGTAGGTAGATGATCGTGGTGTTGACTCACCGGATGAGTAGGTAGATGTCAGGGGTGTTGACTCACTAGATGAGTAGGTAGATGATAGTGGTGTTGACTCACTAGATGAGTAGGTAGATGATAGTGGTGTTGACTCACTGGATGAGTAGGTAGATGATAGTGGTGTTGACTCACTGGATGAGTAGGTAGATGAGAGTGGTGTTGACTCACTGGATGAGTAGGTAGATGTCTGTGGTGTTGACTCACTGGATGTGTAGGTAGATGTGAGGGGTGTTGACTCAGAAGATGAGTAGGTAGATGATAGTGGTGTTGACTCACTAGATGAGTAGGTAGATGTCAGGGTGTTGACTCACCAGATGAGTAGGTAGATGATAGTGGTGTTGACTCACTGATGAGTAGGTAGATGATAGTGTGTTGACTACTGGATGAGTAGGTAGATGTGAAGGGTGTTGACTCCAGAAGATGAGTAGGTAGATGATAGTGGTGTTGACTCACTCAGATGAGTAGGTAGATGTCAGGGTGTTGACTCACCAGAGATAGGTAGATGATATGGTGTTGACTCACCAGATGAGCAGGTAGATGTCAGGTGTTGACTACCAGATGAGTAGGTAGATGATAGTGGTGTTGACTCACCAGATGAGTAGGTAGATGTCAGAGGTGTTGACTCAGAAGATGAGTAGGTAGATGATAGTGGTGTTGACTCACCAGATGAGTAGGTGATGTCAGGGGTGCTGACTCACCAGACAGGTAGATGATAGTGGTGTTGACTCACTGGATGAGCAGGTGCAGATGTCAGGGTGTTGACCCAGAAGATTATAGGCAGATGATAGTAGTGTTGACTAACAGATGAGCAGGTGGATGTCAGGGTGTTGACTCACTAGACGAGTAGGTAGATGTCAGGGTGTTGACTCACTGGATGAGTAGGTAGATGATAGTGGTGTTGACTCACTAGATGAGTAGGTAGATGTCAGGGGTGTTGACTCACTTGATAAGTAGGTAGATGTAAGGGGTGTTGATTCACTAGATGAGTAGGTAGATGATAGTGGTGTTGACTCACTAGATGAGTAGGTAGATGATAGTGGTGTTGACTCAGAAGATGAGTAGGTAGATGTCTGTGGTGTTGACTCATTGGATGAGTAGGTAGATGATAGTGGTGTTGACTCACTAGATGAGTAGGTAGATGATAGTGGTGTTGACTCAATGGATGAGTAGGTAGATGTCAGGGGTGTTGACTCACTAGATGAGTAGGTAGATGATAATGGTGTTGACTCACTAGATGAGTAGGTAGATGTCGGGTGTAGACTCACTAGATGAGTAGGTGGAGATAGTGGTGTTGACTCACTAGATGAGTAGGTAGATGTCAGGGGTGTTGACTCACTTGATGAGTAGCTAGATGTCGAGGTGTTGACTCAACACAGATAGTAGGTAGATGATAGTGGTGTTGACTCACTGGATGAGTAGGTAGATGTCAGGGTGTAGACTCACTAGATGAGTAGGTAGAATGTGGTGTTGACTCACTAGATGAGTAGGTAGATGTCAGGGTGTTGACTCACTTGATGAGTAGCTAGATGTCAGGGGTGGCTACTTGATAAGTAGGTAGATGATAGTGGTGTTGACTCACTGGATGAGTAGGTAGATGTCAGGGGTGTTGACTCACTAGATGAGTGGGTAGATGATAGTGGTGTTGACTCACTGGATGAGTAGGTAGATGTCAGGGTGTTGACTCACTAGATGAAGTAGGTCGATGATAGTGGTGTTGACTCACTAGATGGTGGAAGTAGACGTGGCTCACTAGATGGTGGAGTATGTCTGTGGTGGCTCATTGGATGGTGGGTAGATGATAGTGGGTGGACTCACTAGATGA